CCGAAATTTAAACTTCAGAATCTCTACTGTTTTTCACTGTTAACACAATTAATATTTAACAACTTGCTCAATTTTAAATATTCGTCCTGATCAAAATGACCACGGCTTTGGTTCATGAAACTTTTACAGATTCCGAAGGAACTGCATTTTTTTCCTTTATTTGCAAACTGGCCATAAGAACTATTCCCTGTAAACTGCTTTTAAATATGCTTATGAAGTGCCTCGAATATTTAGATCACAAAGGAGAAAAAATTGGACAACCACTGAATAAAATAAAAGAACAAAATGATCCCCATAAGATGCGCCCCATATATGTATGTTTCTCGGTGAGTGGCAACGTACAACAAAACAAATTGGGCGTATATTTGCAAATCCATGTCAACCTTTCCTCCATTATATCCTTATCACTTTAACCTAACCAAAATACCTTTTCTTTTTTTCTTTCTTATTAATAAGTTACGACTAACTTTACTAGGAAAAAAACGAAGATGGCTGATGAGCCATCCAAGTTGTCAAAAAAGATACGCATTATTTAGAAGTAACCTCTGCAAGGGGTAAATATCCACCACGAAAAGAGAGGAGCTTTAATATTTGTTGTAAAAGGGACAACCACTTTCCGCAATTATTACGTTTTTCTTAATATTAAATTTTTTTTAATAAATTGTTAAGAATATATCTATTATTGGGTGCCAACTTTATCTTCCTGCTTTTAAGGCAAAATAGATTCCACTCAGCCACGGTTCGTACCGCTTTTATTAATGTAACAATATATAATACCGGAACTAGTGTTAGTATTCATCATTTTGATTAGTATTTTAAATTCATCATATCTGAAATGTTCATATCTTATTTGAATAGTCTAGATTTAAAATATTTAATTAATTATTTTTAAACAGAAAAAACTACTTTTCGAAAAAATAATAGTTAAGAGACTATCTCTATTTTAGATTATATGTATATTAAAATAATTATTTTGAATAAATAAAAATAATTAAAAAATTAAATCTGAACCATTGAAATGGGATATAAACATTCCAAACCTGATGAGTTTAGGATACTCGTCAAAATAATTAATACTGAAACTGATTATATAATACCGTGTATTCGGCAAGTAACTTATGGGTTTGCAACATTGCGCACATGATTCATCAAACCCAAATATGTCTAATAATAACAGTAAATCAGTATAAGGATAATTACATGAAGAATTTGTCCAGGAAAATCACGTTGGGGGGTGGGGAAGAGTTACCTTCAATATAATATAGTGGACTACTAATCCGTTTGATTGAGGATTTTTCATTGAAAAATTAAACGATAAAGTGTACATTTTATTAAATTCTGTCAAAAAAACCTTTCAACAATTCTCTCATTTTATACTTGCCTTTATCGTATTTATATATTCTCTCAATGTTTCAGTTTGTTTTAGCTTTATCATAGGACACGAATATTATGACATACAATCAATACACACCTGTAGATGGAGGAAGAATTAGATACGACACAACACTGCTGTGACAGAGAACAAATTATGAAATGATGCCAACTAATGAAGCGAAATTAAATTCATGCGGAGGGGAAAAAAAAGCTGAACAACGGAAGAAAATAAAAATAAATGAGGGACAATTAAAGAGACAGCCTAAGATGGGGGTTTGCTGCTTTCACAGATAGCCAAAAAGAAAAGGATAGGAGAGACAAGCGAAAGGTAGGAGAGCATAAGCATATAATGCGGTTTTAGAGAGGGAAAGAAAGCATTCATGGATTGTCCACCACTGATACATTTGATTGATTTCTTGAAGACCTTTTCTTTTTTGAAAAAGCCTTATAAGCGACAAATTCTCGACTTATGCTAAGGGTTTTAAATAAAGCTGAGAAGATAATCATCTTTTAGCAACTCTAAAGTAGTAAAATCAATCTTTAAGGTTTAAAGAAGAGATGCTTATCTATCTTCCTTTCTTTTATCTTAATACTTTTCGTTTTATATGTTATGCTTTAGGATTTTATATTTATTTTGAACCTATGTACCGCAACCTTTTCTAGCTTTCCAAAGAGGAGAATGTTGGGTTATGAAAATCAACGATTCTTTTGCAAAATGCAATACACAAAGCTAAGCATAAAAAGTAGTGCTCTTTTGATGTATCTCCTGGCGAACATTTTACTTTTTCCCTTCAGAAGTAGAAAAGTTGCTTCTCCAATTTGCACAAACCTCACGTTATGGATCATTGTTTTAACTAATAATTTTTGTGCAGTCCAATATCAACTGTATAAGCATAGATTAAGGATGCAATGTGCAATTTAAGCTTGCCATTATATATATACTCTTCCGATCATAAATAAAAGACTTATTTTGTAATGTAAATAGAGTGTATATATAGCACTTTCAATTTTTCTTTAAAAAACAATCATGTAGCCTCTATTCACTTGATAAATTTTCCAAATAATCAAAAAACTATTCGTCAAATATTAATCGACATAATATAGAAGTAGCTTGGTGGTTTAATTTAATTTGCTATTTTTTCAGCTGTCCCTTCTCTCGTTTCACATTAATTCTTTTTATCTGCATCATCACCAGGATATTTTATTGATTGAATTCTATTAAATCCAATCGATTCGAAACAAGATGTTTGGCAAAACTCAGAGTTCATCAGAGATTAAGGAAAACAAATAAAAGTTTACTTCTGCTATGAAGTATGTATTTGATGCTATTCAATTAATGAATCCGTTAGTAAATAATACTATACTAATGATAATAAAGTTTGCCTAATGTGAGAGATTTAAAAGCAACAATTGGGAATAAAGTGAAAAGGTGTTCGGCATGATTAGCCCTTCACTATTTGAACTCTTAATTATTACTTAATCCGGACAGAGAGCTGCTGGTAGATTCCTGATTATAGACGACTTTACAGCAATTTGGATGGCAGGTTTAAGAAGAGAATAACTGCGTACATGTTCAAGCCATTTCCGTAACAGCCGACGTTAATTATTTCATTAGGAATACAGAAAACTGATAATCATAGCTATTCATGTATATTTAGTGCTCCATTTGACTAATCCTTTTTATTTGAAATCAACCAGCAGTAGCCAGAAAAACTTTAGAGACATGAGCCATTTGATAATAGGTGTAATGGAAGCGCGGTCTTAAAGTTAAGCTATCTTAATTAGATATATGGAGGGCTCAAAATATTTTGTTTTCAGGATGGGTTCAAGCATAATTGATGATATGGAATTCCTCGTACAATGCATCTGTACATGTGTGTGAATGCGCTCGGATTCACTTTGCTTTTTATTTGATTTTCTTCCTAAGTAAGCAAAAACCCAAAAATAAAACAAATATAAATCCTAGTCATTCCCAAGGGAATTATCAGAGGGATGTGCGAGTGCAATAAAATAATTTTTTTCCTGAAAAAATATATAATTAAGATAACTTTATATTGGTCGTTAAGTCATAAAATATTTTATGAAAAATAATGACAAACAATAGGCATTGGTTGGCATTATTGTACTACGTACACAAGTAAAGAAAATGGATCACAATCAGTAGTTGTGTGTGTCTGTAAGTGCTAAGTAAAAAAAAGAAAATGAAGGCTGAAGCGAAAATTGGAAATTAACAATTCATAATTAAGAATAATTTTAACTAATTTGTTGGCAATTACAAGTATATATCATGTGAATGCATGCCACGATTATATTTTTCTAGTACTATATTATATAAAATAAGTTATATTATTCATGAGCAATGATATATGTGGTTTAACTCAAATTTCATGCAGTACATACAGGAAAATGTGCCAGTTTTGAAGAATTATTCAAAAGAAATTGATCCTTAAAAAGTTAAAAAAACATTTCCTTTTTTTAACAAAATGATGGATACAAAAAACCTTTCAAGTCCCATTTTTATTTTTTTGGAAAAGAAAACATTTGAATGAAAGAAACAAAATTTCAGGAAAAAGTACTAGCAGTTGAACTTTTACAAGCTTCATATATACGAAGTTTGAATCGTCTATACAATTTAAGATTTTCGTTCAGTGCTGCTTACTAAGGCAGAAACTTTCTTTTCATGAGCTCTGGCTCTCTTTAACTTTCTGAGGCAAGAAATGTCTCTAGTTATCCCTACTTGGAAGCATTCTCTCCTAGCTAGTGTTTTTCTTTCCTTACTATATATATAACTTAATTATTTGATTTGCACCCAGAAAAACCATGAGTGGTAGGCCCCAAGCTCCGCGTTGAAAAGATTAGAGACATTATAAAGTAAAGTTATTGTTTTCCGTGTAAGGAAGCTAACAACGCGTATCATGATGGGGCGACCCCCAACTTCGCATCTGACGACAAAATAAATAAATAAATTGTAGTTATGGTGTATTTATTGAAGAATTAATCATGAAGTAATAATTGCCGATCACGGTAGAGTTTTTAGTAAGCTTCAAACTCGCGCAGTATCACAACTAAATGCTGTTCCAATGAAAATGAAGAATCGATCGAAGGGTTCGATCACTGGGAAACGTAGGGTCAAACAAATCACGTCCAGAGGCCTAAATTATTGTGAGAGTTCATTAAAAAGTTAATCAAAATAGTTCTTTTGTGTTTGTGTGTGCACGCGCTCAATCAAGAAATCATTTAATCAACGTTAAAAAATATCGACTGTTATTGTTGCAAAACATCACGGTGAGCAAGGAAATGAACGAACCAAATCATTTAATAGCTAGACTGTGAATTACCGAACACGCATGTTTATGGAATTTTAGGGCTAAGTTATGATAATAAAATATGAACAGCTCATCGCCATATAATGAACAGTCTAATCAGATCGTCTGCAGATTTCAGACAAGTACTATAATGTTAAAATATCACACTCCTTGTTTATATGTGAAGAAGCGCGCGCGCGCACAGATCAGCAGATAACTTGTTTGGTAAAGAACCCAAAATGTATAGTACCCAAAAAAAAGGTAAAAGTTTTTTTACACGGAGTCGAGACCATGCAAGTTCCATAGTAGTAGAGAGGGATATAACAATTTAAACTCAGTAATATACATGTAATTCTACATAATTAATTTGAAGTGCGTACTGAGGTATGCCATCACATTTCACCTCCAGACCAAGGAAATTCAAGGATATGATGAAAATAAAGTGAATAGAAAGAAGCCTGAAACACAGAAAGAGGTGGAGGAAGAATTATTTTGAAAATTTGTTTGGCCTCATAATTCCGGAATTTTGAAGATTATACGTCTATCGACGGATTCAAGAAGGCCAATTTCATCCACGGACTGATCCTTTTCGCAGTCCTCATCATCATCAATGGAAATATTCAAATCCAAAGCCAGACGAGGGCTTGTATCCTCCAAACTAGCTACCTCGTTCTTCTCTTCTTCACATGACTTCTGCTTCGCTGGTGGAGAGCACGCTCTTGACCTCGAACTGAAACTTTCGCAGCTCAGAATTATGATAGCATCACTAAGCCGGACTTCTTCACCATTCGAGTCCGTTATTCTTCCTCTTTCAATGACCCTTTTAAATCCCAATTGAGAACGACAATCTAGTTGCTCAATATCTTCAACTAGAAAAACTCTATGAGGGTTACTAGAGACTGCGTCCGCGAATCTGTCGATATAACTGCAACTCCGTTCGTCTCTTGATCTCTTGTTTCTGCAATCCTCGGTTGAATCCGCTCTTGTCGAAGAAAAACTGCTTAAGGCTAGTGAGGCGATGTTCCTCTGGGACCCAAACACAAGCCTAGCAAGTTCTCTGGCTATTTTCTCTTTAGCCCCCACATCAACTCCCTGGAATAACAACCACGTTTCTTCCTTTACTTCACTACTGTTTTTTACCTTCCCCTTTCGTCTTATCATGCCGGAACGGCATTGTAGAATTGTACTCACAATTTCTGGTATTATATCTTTCTGCCACGGCACTTTTCTCTCCAAACCATCGCATAGGGTTTTGAGGTTCTCCGAGTTGATCTCTCCGAACCTGCTCATGTACTCCGTTTCCATCACGTCACTGGAAGAGGTGGAGTTTGGATTCGATAATGGAAATGGTTGTTTCGTGTCCTTGTGCTCTGGGATGTAAATTTTCAAAGTGGGCTCATTGGGTGTGTTAGAGTTAGCACTTGATGAGATCCAGAAATTAGGGTGCAGCTGGTCATAGGAAGTAGATGAAGACGGTGATACGGAGGAGAATGTGAGTGTTTTCTCAGTAGAAAAGGGTGGAATTTGGATTGAATTGGACGCGGAGCTCCACTTGTGGCGAACTAGGACACAGTCCTGTTAAGGGAAAAAAAACTCAATTTATACTTACAAGTAAAATGATATTTTCCATTAATTTTGACGAGTAATTAAGTTTGGGTTGTCGGATTAATTGAAGACCTGATCATTGGAAGCAACTCCGTTACTCTCATCCTTGCACTGTTGGAGCCATGCGGGAAGGCTTGAAGTGCTGGAGTCACTATTGCAAGTGCTACTCGGCAAGCTTCGAACTTGGATGTCGAACATGGCGGATGGCTCAGCCAAAGAATCCGGGCTCTTCTCCTTATCCCCTTCTGGTAATAGCCTTCTGGTTCCTGTGTCGGCTTTCTTGGTCGACTCATTTTGTAGACCGCTGAAAAACGAAAGTGAAATTCAATTGATGATCATGAGACTACTATCATTCGATAACTCTTTAATTTTTTCCCTACATTGCGCACACACACACTCCGCTTTCCTACTGATTAGAAGCCGAACAGTAACAACATAATGGAGAGGAAAAGAATTAAGAGAAAGAACACCTGTATGAAATAATATATTGAACGATTTCCAAATCGTTGGAAGAGAACAAAAGGCGAAACTTCTTTCTTTGTTATTTTTAATCAGTGAGAAACAAGACTATAATAATGGCAGACAAGTTACTCGTCTCATCAGTACATACAAATATATTTAACGTAAACCAGTTAAGAAATCATCTCCCGTAATTAACCTAACTTCGAAAGCAAAAGACAGATCTTTTTTCTTTTATCCTATTTTTCTTCATTGATATTCATTGATTTGGAAAGAATCATCTTGGAAATGGAACGTAAAGTATAAGTAAAATTAAAGCAGCACTAGTATCACATCATACTTTACCTGTCGGAGATGAGACTCAGGCTCAGGCTTCCCACAGGTATTGTGAGAGGATGCAGACCCCAAACAGTCTGCAACGAGGGAGATCCATTTCTGCATCTCATGTAAGTCTGAAAAGTGGCTACACCCATAACAGAAAATCTTCCATTCTCCCCAATCCCGTTAATAAGTTTGCCAATCTCCGAGATCATGTGCTCCACGGGACAGTAGTAGACTCCCCCTTGCTGGCTCGAACCAGCCCTGTATTCAAATACCCAATTAATATCTCCTACGTACAAAATAAATCCTTTGCTATGGCAGCTGCTGCTTCTAGCCGAGTTCCTAAGCTCCTCAATCTTGTTCTCAACTTGTACTCGAGAGACATGCCCAAAAGCAGAAAGAGAGAGAGAAATGAACTTAACATCTCTCACACCCTCCTCGTCAACATCCCCTTTCTCAACTTTCTCCATCACTCTTCTTACCACTCCTTCTAGACTGGCCACACATTCCCCCACAAGCACACTACTCCTCATTCTTTGATTCCTCAAATAATCCAAAACACTAGTAACATCCTCCTCCCTAACCGTTGAAATCGTTTTCCCTACGTTCGAGGTTATGTTATTATTACTATTATTATTTTCCTTCGACTTGCCACTCACAGAAGGCGAAGGGGCATTCTGGGAGCATACATCCAAAGACACTGCTTGTTCTACATTGCTTTTCACTTGGGTGCTAGAGAACCCGGCCTCCCTCATGACTCGGCTTACACTAGGATCGTCCAGAATTGAAATTATGAGTTGCTCCAACTCTATCTTCACCGCCAAGAGAGGTTGCTGCTGACTCTCAATGGATCCTCGGCGCTGGTGGGCCTGGGCTCGCTTAAAAGCGGCGACGAGAGCGTTGGAGATAGAAGGAGAGTGAGCCGGTGGGCCTAACATGGGACTCGACGAATTGGAAGCCGGTAACCGGTTGAGGGCGACGTTGAAGCAAAGCTCTAAGGCCTTGCACTGCAAAGGATGAGAGTGAGACTGCAGGCAAGCCGTGCGGAGGAGGCCGTTGGAAGCAGCGAGCATGGTGTTTGCCACGTGGAGCGGAGTGACCTGGGCATGGCCCCGACGCTTCGCTAGAGTCACTGCTTGCTTCACTACGGTGGCCGCCTCTGCGGTTAGCCCCTGCTGAACAGCACAGCTTCCTGTTCTCATGACTTCAGCTCAAACAACAGCTACAGTACTCCGAGTAAGAGATCAGCGAAGTGGAGTCTGCATCGATCAGCTTTATATATCGACTCGGATGTGGGAAGAAGTTGCGAGGTTCGGGATAAAGGATGATATAGAAGAAAGAGGATTCATAACATATCTATTTGCAGGTATAGCTTTCGAAGCCTACCCCTAGTTACTCTATAATGAAGAGACTTACTAAACCCATGAAACTTTGTCTATCTTTGTATCTGATCTATGGGGCTAGAGAGAGGGAGAAGGGGGGGGGAGGGGGGTCGTGAAACTTATGGAAGGAGGATAGTGTGCTTTTCTTGAGGAGGAGGTAAATTTGGGGGTCCAAAGTAAAGTTGATTTTGTTATAGAAAGTGGATTGCATGTGCTGACGAGCAGGACTAATGCACCAGTATCAAAGGCAACTCAGCTTTGCCCTATCCATAGTACTCTCTCTCACTCATTCACCAAATTTCGTAAAAATATATATATATATAAAGTTGAGGAATTGGCAAAGTGGGGCGCTTTCTTTTTCTATACGCATATCCAAATACTATTATTATTTTCTCGCTGCATGAAGGAGAAGAATTAAGTCGCCCAATTAGGCGCTTAATTATCTTGAATTCAACACTCGAACAGTCCCCTTACTGCAGTGTCCATATCCTTAGTGAGGTCGTCTTCCAATAGTACACTATTGCAATCAAACTCTATTAAGGAACTCCAATATTAAAATAGTTGTTCGAGTGACAAGGGTCACCTTCTCGTTCCTAAAGATGAATAAATAAATAAATAAATAACGGTAGGCTTAAAGTAACTTTTAATTATTGAGGTAGAGTCACAGCGCTAAGTTTAAGTAATTAAGAAGTGGCTCAGCGAGCAAGCTGGAGAGAAAATGGACGATGACGCTCCTTATAGTAGAAGAATGGAGAGAGGGGAAACATCTTTTTCACCGTCTGCCAAAAAAACGAGGACCTGAAAAGAGGAAGGGAGGTTAAGAAGGAATGGGGAAGTGTGTACGATTTTCTTCCGGACCCAAAGACAAGGGAATAAAGCGACACACTTTGCCTTCCTCAATTTTATTTTATGGAAATTTCCAACATGAAAGCCAACTTAGACGCGCACCTTTATGAGCCTCATATGCATAGGGATTACGACCAACATTCTCCTCTCATCGGAATCTCACATTCTCTCCCTCTCTTTCCTCAATTTATTGCATAAAGTTGCTCCTTTTTTGTCCCTAATAATTCATTCTAAAAGAAAGAAATAAAAAAAAAAGAGAGAGAGAGAAAAGATTACCGCAATACAACGACCTCCATAACTGTGAAAATCTACATCTAGTAGTTCCTCATTCATTTGTATCTCAATATTGGCCTCATGAACAATTAGAGTCGAAAATCATCGCTATCAGCGATACCACCAGGAGGACAGAATGGCGAATATTGAAGAATTTGAGCAATTAATCTATTGACTTCAATTTCTTATTCTCAAACTTCTAAGCTAACTGACGTTCCTTACTTCATTAAAATTATCGAAAATGGTCATTTCAATGTAAAATGTAGTCAAAGGAATAGGTTTCCAGTAATTGAGATTTAATGACTCTGTACTCAACCTCGTACCTGCAAGAGGGCAAGTAGGCATACTTGTCTTGAAATTTTATTTGATTTTACTAGGGAAAATTTTAAAATTAACTAACTGTAACCCTGACTTTTACCTGACTTTCACTTTTGACCCCATGTGATTAGCTCTGGATCCATCGCTAATCAATTTTACTTTTGCTAGTTTGGTTGCTCTCGCCATTTGTAGCTGCAACGATCAGCGTGCATTTCTCAATTTTCGTTGAAGAGTTTTCCTTTGTGAGAATTTTACTATCCAACGATCACTTTGCATGGCATTGCTAGCCACCCAATATTCTAGGTGGTCGCCACTAGACCCCAATTTTACAAAAACAATAAGAAGAAAGAAAGCATAGCAGAAATTTTCTGCACGTGCGGTCCAGTTCACACTTACTCGATCATATCAAGCTTGATTATTGATTCTAATTAACATGATTGACTTTAGTTTCCTGAGCTACATATTATTGTTCTGCACAGTAGTTTGGTCCTATGAACAGAAGGTCTAACCCACTAACTGAATTCCTAGTTTACACATATCCATATCACAAGACTATTTGTTAAGCATCATCCAAGAAGAGCCAAGAAAAAAATCCATCATTCAATATATGAGACATATATATGAAACTTAAGAGCATAATGCATTTTAAATTTACAAAGAAAAACAAAGTGGCAGTGTCAGCAAGTGCAACGGGCTATGAAATATGGTTGAATGTATAAGGGAAAGTGCATTAATTATGCGTTTGATTCTTTATGGTCCACCTGAGCTGTGTAGGTATCTTAGAGAGTTGTGTCCGATTTAGGGTTTTGGGTGGAACACTTCAAAGCATTGAGGAAAGGCTTTGCATAGAAAGCAGAGCAGGGATAGAATCACTCATCAGTGCAGCCCTTACATCAAGGTGTTCACCAAAAAGAAAGCTTACAAATTCTATAAAGAAATGAGACCATATTTTCCTACACAGGGCATATCACTCTTTTTATTCCCCAATGATGTTCCACTTTTGCTTGTTTTATACTGTGATCCATGACCTATCATGAATGCGTGCTTCAGTCAATTCTACTCTCACTCACTGCACCTTCGTGTCATTTTGGAAGAAAAAGCTGCGTAATAACATCCAGTATATGCTGAGCAGCATAACCAGAAAGAAAAAGAGTGTATGATCGAACAATCATATATAGGTAAACCAGTGGATGAGCCCTCCATGAAAAATATTTTACTTCATATGTCCACCAATATAATACCTCATGTTTGGAATCTTTAACTCCATTTTGGTACTTCGGTTTACGCAAAGCTCACATAAATCCAACGTCGTCACTGTGCAAGTAATTTGTGTACACGTGACAGGCCCGAGACTATACAATGAGTCTTTTTTCTCGTAGGATCCTGACGTCCTTAGAAAAAAACCACAGGTAATACAAATCTAGCGACCGTTTATTCCTTGTGGGTGGGCGAGGATGGTATAGTGGAGGTAGCCAAAGAGCTTCCAGTCAAAAAGTCTTTTGCATCTTTGTTTGGCATAAAAAGACTTACAAAGAGCACCAAATTATTTGAACACACAAAGCACTCTGCTATGCGAGAAAAGCAGTGTTTGAATGAAAGAGAGGAATATGTACACTTACTTACAACACACCCTAACTCAATACTTCTCTCTCTCCCCCACCAATAACGGTTAACTTTTCTTTTATTTTCTTTCCGTAAAAGAAAATTAAAGGATAAGTGTTTTAAAACCAAAGAAATGAAATGGAAAAGCCATCCTAACTGTTAAGAACTATATCTTTGCTTAGACACCCATGAGATTTATATATAGCAAAGTGAAAGCGAGGACAGTCTTTTATCTCCTTTCGCTATCAAGGTCTCTTGATTTTCCGGGAAACGCATTCCATTAGAGCTCAAATATTTTAAAACATATCATCATCTTCTGGCTAAAGTAAAGCGCTGTATCATAAAGCAATATTAAAAGTAAAAAATGGCATTATCTACTCAAAAGGGACGCTCATTTTTATGCTTTTGAGCCTTCAAATAAGCATCTTCAGCCTCTACGTGGCCATGTGGCTGAAAGCAATATCCAGCAGAGGCAAATGAAACTGAGGGCAAAGAGTGAGAAAGCAAAAGGATTAGTTAATAGTATTGGGAAGGATGGGCAGCTTTAAACTTTAAAGGCTAAAATGGCATGTAAAAGTTACCCTAATTTTGATATGGCAGCCTTGTTCGTGTAAAAGCGATGGAATTACGTCCTCTTTTCCCAAAAGTTCCTGATTATATAATACTTCATATCTTCGGTGCACTGAGCAAAATTGTGCTTCACTTATAACTTGAAAAGCGAACATCATTAGAATAAAAAATGATTACACTGCCTCACGCCCTCTGTTGAAAACTGCACAAATGTAGAAATTTTAGCATTTCATGGCTGCGTAATTAAGTGTGAGTTATGGGGTTTTAATTTCCAGGTCATTTCCGTAAGCCATATGCCTAGTGTTGTCTCGAGGCCGCCTAATCTGTGCTAATCAAAACCCAAATACCAATAAAAGCGTCAAGCAATATTCTTTGAAAGCGATGGTATTAGATGCCTTATTTCTATTTTATGTGAATAGGATTAGAAGTATTTTGCTTTCGAAATTATTGATGAATATGACAAAGCATGAAACATCGATAAATCCGCACTAAATCTAAAATATTATTAATTATTAAAACCTCAGACAATAATGACAGCATAAGCGTCCGACATATTTAAAACGCAGATCCTAGGAGAAGGTATGTAAGCTTACAATAATCCATCTGACACAATTCATCCGAGTTATATAAGCATGAATTTCGAAAACTTTTATAAATAAACGAATACATGAAATCTGACACGGTAGCTTCACTTCAAACAGGCTATCCAAGCCATATTTACTCAGCATGACATTCGATCTTTTCTATGTATGTAAAGATAGACGGTTATAACGAAAAGCATGGACAACTAAAAACTGTCTGAATAAATGGCCCAGCATATTTGTCAAAGTGACCAATACAGTGCCGCAGTCCCAGTCTTATGTTTTATGATTAAACGGGTTCAAGGCCCACTAAACCGCCCACCATCTCCTCCCTCGTGGAATTTTAAAATTATGAAATAATTATTTTTTGCGCTCTGAAAAAGAAAAAGGGAAAGAGAGAGTGAAAAGGCCGATGAGAAAATTTAGCTTCGGTATTCCTTTTGGAAATGATTTCAGAAAATTTAAATATTTTTTTTTCCTTTTGCTCCCTTTCCTTTTCAAAGAAAGCCGCCTTTTCTTTTCTGCCCACACAACTCCGGCGAAATTATTTCCACATTGCGTTTCTACTTGAAGATACAGCATGAAAACGAGACGATCTACAGAGAAGGATGAAAATAGAAAACCACATTGATACGCGCAAAGTAAGTGCGACCGCAAAAATTGCTGGGTTTAGAATTCATGGGGAATGAAAATTAGGAGTAGAAATTGGTCCTACAAGAAACCAACATATCAAATATGCCAGACCCAAAAAAAATAAAATAAAATTTTTACATGTGATCAAAACTTAATGACATGCAAAGTCAGCCAAAATAGAAGGGGGAAACACACAAAAAGAAATGTGCCAAGATTTTACAAACCAAAAATCACTCACAATCACAGTTTTAGACACCTCAGCTGTCTCCTCGTCCAGAATTATTATTCTGAAGCAGCGGGTTAAGAATAAATCCTACAACTGATCCCCGTTAGAGAAACAAAATTGTTTATTAACAAGCCTCACAAGATTTTGAATTACAGAAACCAAAGGTCCATATGCCCACTTCATCCAACAGATTGCAGTGGCTTGCTCCTTCTTTACCATTAAAAAAAAAGAAAGAAAGAAAGAAAGAAAGAGAAGGCCTAAGGGAAGTCACAGGAATCAAGAACAAACAAGAATAAAAAGACCATTCAATGGTATATTCAGAACATCATAGATAAATGAAAAACAGATTTAAATATTAGATCATGTAAGAATAAGGAAAACACATCAGTATATTCTTTTTTCTTCAATATCCCATTATACAACTCGTAGAATTTGCAAAGGGATGCTCCAATTTTGAATTTTTGACAGATTGCTTAAACACTTTGACGGACAGCACCTGCACATAAAAGCTTTCCCACCATAGACGAAATGCCTTGTTCTCATATTGAAACCAAGTAGACTAAAAACAATGAGAAAATATGGGTAATACCATCCTTTCAAAACAAATTTCACAGCGGCAGTAAAGCAACTAATACTAGAACTGCACCTGTAATCAGCCAAACACAAACAAAAGCAGATCCTATAAAAACTTAAGCCCCTTTGGACTTGAGCACAACATATGGCCATCTTGATTTACACATCAACTGAGCGTCAAGAAAGAGTTCTAACATCTTCAATAACCATCAGATACATTCCCTTCACTGAGATATTTGTCTAAGATTCAAGATAGTGGATAAAACCAACAGTCAAGTGATTTTGGATATATAGATCCCACGCCGGGACAAAAAGTATTTCATTTAAGTGACAACTACTTCTAGGGAAAAGAATTCTTTTAACAATAAAACCATGAATAGCAGTTCTGCAGTTGCAACCGGCATGCATAAGTTCCCAACAAAATTTATTTTTCAATTTCCTTTCCTTGTCTACTGATATTCTGACAAGATTAGCTACTGGATTCAAGTAAACGTACCCTCTGGCACAGAGAGAGGAATCTAATCGATAGCATAGATCTCTTAATATTTGAACCATGTCAGACAAGTACCAGAAAACCAGAGGACTCATAATAAATTCATGGACTTTGCCATTGCTAATTGTAGAACCAAAGATGATTTAGTACAATATTTAATACTATACTAAACGGAAGCATACTCATCAGCAAGTAAACGTAACACAACTACATCACTGTAGGCATCAAGAATTAATGCACATATTGCTGGCCAAATCATCCTTTCCTCATGATGAACAAACCTAACAGCCTCAGTAGAGTGTAAGGGAAAGGAGACTACCGCAGAATCCTGCAGTTAAAGATATGAAGAAATCCCTTAGCGCTTTGGTTGAATCCTTCAGCAAAGGCAAAATATGGGCAAAACCAATAACGACGGGGAAACACAAAACAAAATTCTAGGGACACAGATGGAGAGACAAATGCTTAAACAATGAACAGATTACAACCTTAAAAAAGATACTGAAGCATGATTTAAATAAATGATGCAGTTCATATTACCACTGCCGAGACAATAATCATCAGGGCCAAAGCCCAAGAAATAACACCAATTTTGCATTAAAACCCTATAAGTAACCTTATGTTGTTGGTGGTTGGAACACTTCATGCAGAAACGGTTTAAGAATCAAAAGAAGGAAATACAGTAAACAGATGAAAATTAGAAACCAGGCATTTGCCTGAGATATCAATTCCTAAGAATCATCCTGAAGTAGTGGCGCCTCAATTTCATAGATTATATTGATTTTTAGAGACGACCGAACCTTTCTGGTACTCAGTGTTCTATGAAATATCCGAATAATTACAATTACGCATGAAATTTGTCGAGCCAATATCAAACGAAAAAAAATAGATGGATATTGTCTATCGCGACTATTGACTATGTCCACTTGTCACTGTCTCCTCACAAAGGTGGAAGGTATAAGCACATCTCCCCCTGGTTATATGGGGCGCAGTAATTGACATATTTTTCAGACACCCCGTTATGTATCAGTGGACTAATTGCCCCGTTATGCTCGTACAGAACTCACATATCTGTAGCCTCGGCATGAATTCAAGATCATAAAGATCACGATCACAGCAGATTATTTGTTTTGTTCAAGAAAACAAGTCAGAGCAACAGAGACAACAAATTTACAGATTTAAATTATCACAAGAAATCAAACTGGAACTAAATGTTGAACTGACAATATACCATGTGGATAAAAGTACCAAATAATGAGTTTTCGGAGGATGGTGACTGCGAATATAAAAATTGTGCAAGCCACTACACCCTAATGAACCGAATTTGTAGGAAAAATAAAACGGGCAATGTATGAGGTAAGAAAGCATTACTTGAAGTGCTGATTCACTGGTGAATGGGGGCGAAGGAGAGTGAAGCGATCTCTTTCTTTTTTCGTGGTCTCGGCAGCAACTGAGGTTTTCCCAAATGCAACCGACGCGGGGTTCTATACCGCGCCGAAGCATTCCAGTAATTTTAATTTCCATATTAAAATTAAATTACTCAACAAAATGATCATGTGCGTAATTGTTAAACAAGAGACAATGACAGTGGCAAACAGCGTGGAGGGTGAGGAGTGAATTCTACTATCTATCTATTCATGGCTGATAACTTGAATAATGTGTTATGAAATTAATATTAATATTTTATGTTAAACATTATTTTTAATTTTCCTCTTCTTTTTTTTGAGTAGGATATTATCGCTAATTCATATATCGGCCAGACTAATCTTGCCTCGCCAGATTGACTCGGTCGCTTACACCAGTCAGCCCAACCCTTGCAGGCAAAATTAAAAGGTAGCACCGATACCTCAGGGTTAGATCAAACCCATTATTATCTTATTCGGTAACTGATACCACGTCCTCGCTGAAATGAATCAAATGCTAAAAAATGGAGCGGTAAAAGTGCAAAGCTAAATGGGCTGGCCCAATAGGGAGTAAAGGAAGGAAAATGGTTTATTTTGAGCATTTGGGAATTGGCAGAGGCATTTGTGAGGATGAGAAAAATGAGCACAAGTGGATCCATGGATTGGACTGAATGAATCCGACAAGTGTGGGTGGTTAAACATGCTAGAGGCGGTTAAGCGGTCAGGTTCAAGGGGATGATGACAAACGAATTGGTTGGTCCCCATTGGGTTTAATTTCTAGCTTAACATGATTGAATTCAGTCTTCCATGTTAGACAGCGGATGGCCCCTTGGAAAGAGAGACACAGGTCGCGCAAGCAACCCACTGCTCTTGTGGACTCTTCCACATCTCTGGGGTAAAAAACAAAGGCAAAATAATAAATGAGACCAAACCTTATCACATATACAAAGTGCTGTTGCTATATGTGTTCCCTCTTCTACCTGCTTCTTCTCCTTATCGTGAATCCCAAATCATCATAAGCCAGCCACCCATGCTCTGTATTCTTCTCAAGACAAACTGATGCGCAAAGGGCACCGGGATGGTTTAGATTCACAGATCAGTCACAGATTTCGAAATACTGTTGTCTAATTATTAAATTTTAAAAAAATAAATTTACTATGATTAGGTGGGTGAAGGGTCAATTGGGTGGGGATTATGCGACGTGTGAAAAGGACATTAATAATGTGAAGCTTCATAAAATCAAGGCCTCGATGGATCTCTCACTTTTCTTTTCATAACAAAGAAAGGTTGCGTTTACTCATTGTTTCCCCAGCGCAGACTGCTCCCCGATTTTCCATTGTGCGCCCCAGGTCCCATTATACTGATCAGGCTGAAACTTCTATGTCTGCCCATGCCCTCCTCCTTCCATCAAGCGTACAAGTCCATTGCCCCACTCTGCAATCTTCATATAATTAGAGAGATCATCACACACACAACAAAATATACTCACTTGTGGATTTCGGAAAATAAAGGTACGTAAATTCGGGGGGGGGGTTAGCACCAAAGAAAAGATTATTAATCAGGAATGTTTACGTCCAAAGGATTTTTTTTTTAATTAAAAAGATAAATTTGATGAGTCAACTGCTAATTAGCTTGTAAAGTTTTGAGTTCAGGCATTTATCTTTAAAAGAAGTTCTTATATCTTAATTTCTAGAATAAATGAAAGATCAGTGAAATAGGAAAGAAATGAAAGTGCTGCACTAACAACGTTCAAGATGCATGTTTCCTTTTACAAGTTACTGCTAGGCAATTAGACAGATCTGTGGAACAGCACCAAAAAGTGCCAACGAAAGAATGAAAAAAAAAAAAAGGCCAGGAACATACGCAAAATTAAAGGCAAAAGCACCGCAGGAGACGTAATAGTTAAGCAAGCATGTTTCAACGGTCAACTAATTATTCAATTATCACGTGTTTGTGCAATTTTTGTAATTCACTTTGATTGAGATCACCGAGCGGTTACCGGGGGGCCCTTCATCAGTTTTCTTGATCATTAGTCATTCACCTTGATTGAGAGACAGTCCATGCATGGCATGTGCTCCACATGGCTTCTTTTATCTACTTGTCAATTCTAATTAAGCTGAATCTTATACCCTCGTGACTAAGTGCTCATTTGAAATTATTTATATGAGTATTTATAAATATGTTTTAAATAAATAAAAACAAAACTCTTTCACATACTTACCTCATATTTTGTAAATCTATTAAGAAGTTACTTATAATCTATTGTAAACGAGCCCTAATTAATCTCCAATTAGGAATGGAATATGTACTGGTTTTGTTGTGTATTAGCAGTACTTTCAAGCGAAACACATCAAATTCTTCTCTTCTCATTTTTTTCCCCTTAAAAATCTTTTCCTCTATCTTTAGAACGTGTTTGGATATTTTCAAAAGTGCTTTTTAAAAGTATCTTTCATACAAGTAGAAATAAAACTCTTCTCACATATTTATTTTGTATACCGTAAAATTATTTTTAAAATTATGATTTAATTTCTGTCCAAACACTCTCTTAATCTCATTCACACATGCGTGTTAGATGCCATTATTATGAATCTGAGTTAGCACACAGAGTTCTGTGTTATACAATATAAAGTTGAATTTAATTATGTATATAATGTAAGTTGTCAATAAAGATGAATTTTGAGGTTTTGAATTAAAAATATAATTTTGCTTTTACTGCTCGTCGTCTATTCAGCTTAATTACAATTTTAATAATCGAGATAGAAAGTGAATGGAAATGCAAAGAAAAGAAACTGGGAAAGCTTTTTCCTCTCCCCATAGAAGTGAGTAATTTATGTAGGAGAAACGCGTACATCCGATCCAGTGAATCAAATCCTTCGAATACTCCAATGCTGATTGATCTATAGGCAACAACAGGGGACGAAGAAAGCGCTGCTGAGCAAGGTTGGCGTTAAGAAACGTCCTGTTTTTGAAAGTGTGATGAGGGTAGGGTGCGGTGTGCCACCCCCTCACTTTTTTAAAGTGGCAACTGATGAGTGGAGATTCCAATTAACAACCCTTCCACGTGTCCATTTGCCTCGCTTTAATTTTTATGTATTACGAGCTTCCAGCCTTCATCATCACTCTTCCTGCTCTCCCCCACAAATTCAAACCCATTCTCTCAAGTCATCTCTTCCCTTTCTTCGCAGCGCCTTCTCGCAGATTTCGGAATTCTTAGTGCAAATGCAATTAAGATAAGAAAGCATGTCACTGTGATGTGGGCCATAAGTTAATTATAGGATATGGTTTCTTGTTTTTGCCATAAATTTAGTGGTGCCGTTCCCATCCGACCTCGCTGTAATAAAATAACCCCAGCGACAATTGACGTCTGTGGAGTTGCTTTCTTTTGTACCCTCTCACTCTCTCCCAATTATTGCATCTTATCACTACAACTAAAAACCACTACGACCCGCCCCCGCGTGAGGACGATCGGGGAGATCACTAAAATCAGGTGGCCCTGCATCTTCTTTTAACTCTTGTTACCGTCTCCATGTATATCTGTTTGATTTTTCATTTCACTGCCTGGGCCAAATTCCATTCCAAATAATGTATGCAAAAGTCAACAACATTATAGATGGTTAAATTAACCTTATACTTCTTTTTTACCAGGTTGGTGCTTTTTGTCTCGTCCGACTGTTGGCATATGACAAAACAACAGTAAAGAAATTTAAAGAAGGGTCCCTGACTAAACAAGATAAACCGACAAGGCAGATAACGCCCCGGAGAAGCCAGAAGATAACAGACAAGGATAAAAAGCTTTATCGGAACACCTCTTGCCTTGCCTTACGCACCACTGAAAGAGAACTTTCCGAAAGAACATGAAAAAGGAATCCATCCTATTTGGAAAGAAGCCCCTTTTCGCTCGGATCAGAAAAAAGAAGGACGCCGTAAAGATTTAGGAATACATCCTCCCTTGTATGGAAGGAAAATAAATTAAACACTCCATGAATCCTTACCCAAGACCCATGCCCAAAAGCAAACTGTGCCTTTTCACCCGCTTCAAGCATATTGCTCATATCGGCCGCCACCCATTATGCACGTTACACAAATACGATATCTTTCTATCATTATTAATATGTATTTTTCTGGAGTCAATTCTTCTGCATTTGAACCGCACCACTGTAATTTCGTAAATTCAATTAATAATACCACGATACAGAAATGTCTGAATTCTTTAATTACCGAATCATTATTCCAACCTCGACATTTGATGATACAATTATTGAAAGATAATAATAAACTAATATCAATAAGCTGTACTTCCGCCCACTGTTCCGTGTTATTTCAATCATTATTAATCAACAAAAATAAAACAAATCAGATCAGGCGGCCACCGCAACACCCCACACCCCAGGCCCTTCGTATACCGTCATACTAACGGCGGTATCCAACGGTCATCATCTCTGCCGCACCCACCGCCGCGGCGAGTCAATGAGTCGTCCACTCGGTTACCTAATCGCCCCGTCCCAGTCAAGGCGTTCTTGCGACGAATGTGCCTAGGTTTACTTCTTGCAACTTCGAGGTCCAAATCCAAACCTCTCATTTTCCAAGTCATATTCCACGTAGAAATTCTGCTGCTGATAGTTCCCTAAAATCACCCCCGGCCCCCCGGCCACCGCCGGGATGGTCCCGTTGTCCGAGAGAATCGTCAAGCAGGCAACCTGCGATTCGCCCACCAACGAGAAATAGTTCTCTACGGGCAATGTCATGTTGGCACCCCCTCTGAATTTGATGGTGAATTGCGGGAAAGAAATCGAGTTCAGGCCTGAAAAATCGAAACAGGGGCTCAAACCGGATCGGGTTTCTACTTCCTTGGCTCTTGTATAATTAGCCATCTGTTTCTCGAATTCTTGTGACACCATATCGAAAATGGGCCTTTCCATGAATGTGAAGGTGGAGCCTGAGTCCACTATGGTGCCCCCATTACCGTCTGAATCTGGCTCATAACGCTTGGACGGAATCTTGACCACCTTGCCACCGATGATGATTTTTCGAATAGTTAAGTAATAATACTCGTGGAATGCTGGGTTGCTTGCGGCTGCGTTTTTTTGAAATGGAGTGTAGCTAAGGCCATCGGTTTTAGTGCCGCCGGAGGACTCACTCTGCAAAATGAGGTCACTGCTTTCTGTGGAGTCGTCGAACCGGTGAGAGATCAAGCAGTAAGAGAATCTCTTTAGACCCAACTGCGAAGGCAGCGATTCAGGGCCTCGACCAAACCCGGCGATGCCGGCCGGTTGACGGATCGACATGATGGAGCACCCAACGACAAAATCGGGTACGATTTTCCCTGGAAGGTCGAGGCTCTCTAAAAGTAACAAGCCAGCGGTTGAACCCGAACCATACTGAATTATATAAGTGGGGCAAATCTGCGAGCAGTTTCGGGCACCGGGTTCGCATTGTTGGCATCGGGACTGAAGATCGGGGCCGAAAATCCAACCACATTTTGGATTTCTGCAACCGACAAACTTGGCGGAAGAAGAATTCTTGGGGATAAACTTGGGGAGTTTAGAGGCATCGATGTTGGGGAAGGAACATCTGGAACAGAGATAACGAGAGGAGCAAGGGAACCAGACGAGGCTACTTCCGGTGTCCAGGACGAAAGGGAAGGTTTGAGGGGGTGTGCCGAATCTAAGATCGACGGAGTATCCACCGTAGGTTTTGGGGTAATCGGGGGTCTTGATGATGGAAGAGCTGGAATTGGATTTGTAGTGCTTGAGGTGGTGAGCTCTGGTCAGGGAAGCAGAGGCAACTACTTTGAGGGTCTGAAAGGGATCAGAAGACGGGTGTTTGGCGTGCAAGGGCGAGATAGGAAGAGTAATGGATGCGAATGATGAAGTGAAGGAAATGAGAGAGAAGAGACACAGTAGATGAAGAATGGGTGGAGAAGCCATTGAAGAAGTTTAGCGAGAAATGAGAACGGGAAGTGAAAAGCAGAGAGATTGAAGGACGGGGGAGTGAACCATAATGCGTTGGGATTTGGATATAAAAAAGCCACCGGGACCTTGACCCGGGAAGAAAGCTGAGACACGGAGGGAGTGGGATACCCCCTTTCTAATTCCCCATGCTTTTGTATTTTTAAAAAAAATGAAAAAGTGAGTGGTGTACGGAAAAAAGATTATTTATTCTTCTTCGAACACAAATTTTATAATGGCAACTTTTGAAAAAAATGAGACGAATTTTTGTGTTAGAAATCAGTCACCATTAGAAACTAATCAATCCTCTTGAAGACTAGAAGTCATCAGAGTGAGCTTTGCTTTTCTTAACAAAATATTTTCCATACACATAACCCAACACTAGACATCATTTTTAAGGAATCTAGTTATCTGTCCATTGTGCCAATTTTATCGGTGAAGAAAATGAGGCAATTTTACTCGGCCCGTGTTTCAGTACAAGGAGTTGCAATTTTATCTATTCCGCATAATCAATAGTAATTATACTCCTTTTAATTGGCATTTTGATCTGCTAGTATTAAGTTTGGATAATGATGGTGAAACTTAAAATAGTAGTTTGTGTTTGAAGGCTTGTTTCCTCAAATTTTGGAAAACAAGCAAGTTTGTAAGAAGCAATTTAGTTTTTAAAGATTTCATGTTTGCTCAAAAAACAAAAAACAAAAAGATGTCGTGAAAAGGCAAAAGTTATCTTGGTTTTCGGGGTAACCATAAAGAATAACTTATTAAGTAACTTCCAAAATAATAATTGCTTTTTTTAAAATTGTATTTTAAAACGCAAACACACAAACTATTCTTTTGTTTCCAAAAGTGCTTTTGAAAAAATAAACGTTTTCAGTGAGTTGAAATAAGAGGCCCTAATTGTAACCGGATATGGGAATTGGGATGTTGCTGGTATTTCCAACTTCCTTTTACATTAGTGGAGTTGGGTAATCAGGTTTTAAGATTTTGACTTGCTAAATTAATTTGTGACGCATCGACTCAAGCACCCAACGGATCTGAGAGAGAGAATTCACCAGCCACACTTTGTTGACTCTTGTGGCATCCAACTAACGGATCCTTCGTTATTTTATTTAGTTTAAATCTTCTTCTTTATTTTGGGATTAAATAAAACATAAGTTCGCCAAAAAAAAAGTCAATTTTATTCTCTCTTTTTTTAAAAAAAAAGAGCACAAGCACCACTAACAAAAACTAAATAGAAGCTCTCAAAAAAACTAAAGATACAAACCTGCACACAACAATTCACCAAAAACGAACTACAAAACAAGACACCGAACATAACAAGCTAAACAACACCAAAAAAAAAAAAAACAACAACAACAACCTAAACAAACTAGTCCGACAGCAAACTTAGCCAATGCCACTTCTTCTCAAAACCCTGACAATCAGAAATACCACAGTTCCATACAGGTCTCAAAAATCCACCCAACAGGCCGCATCTCTGTCCTACAACTCACAACAATCCAATCTGCTGTTTCATTATCCTTCGTAGGACTGTAGGAGTCAGGTTAATATCAAAACTCTTCATTTTCTGCTAAGGCCAAGAGAATAAAATGTGAACGTGTTTTATTTTATCCAGTGGCCAGTGGGAGACAAAAAGAAACGGTTGTGCCCGGGCGGGAGGTTTATAGATTTCCAAATGGTTGAAAGTCCGCTATGGGAAAAGAGCGCATGATCCGCATAATCTATTTCTACTCTCTGTTAATCTGTTTCATGTATGTCTTCCCAGTTTTATTTACGAGGCATTTTTAACATATTTTATACTATTTTCGGTCCTAATTATAGAAACAGTTAACTAATTTGAGGAGATTAAAGAAGTAAATTGAATTAGTTATTTTTTTTAAATAGGTGTTGTCTTTCCTAAAATATCTTTGCTGATCAAGTGTATTGACTAGAACTATTATTGTTAGAAGGGCTACTTTGAAAAAAATATGTATAAATATGAGAGACAAAGTGAATTGAGGTCTTATATTGAGGACTAAAATAAAAGTCAAACAGGGTCTTATATTAAAAACCGGAGGTAGTATAAACCAAGAAAAATCTTAAATTATATTAACTTCTCATTAAAGTATGACAATTTTTTAAGTTTACTCCTATTTAATTTATTTGTTTTTTTTAAAAAATAACTATTTACACTATAATAAGTAAAAGACAAAATAGTATATTCATAGGATCAAAAATTTCTCTCTCTTCATGCATATGCATATAAAGTTATGTTATGCAAACTATTTTAAAAAATTTTATATGCAAAGCGATATTGTGACCTTAAAATGTCAGCAAAAAGACAGAAAAATATCACTTGAACTTCATAATCCCCAAATGGTTTGTTGAATTTAAAAAATCCCAATTTGGTTTTAATTTGGTCTTAAGAGACCAAATTGGGATTATTATGTTAAAAGAAAAGACTAAATTACCCTTCATTTTAAATATTGTTTTTAAAACATCACAGCCCCCACTAGTCAACCGGTCGCCTGAGTTCCGGCGGCGGCAGTCACCGGAGCTCCAGTGATAGGCTGACAATTGGTTACGGGAACTCCGTTGGTCGGAAAAAAAAATTTTTTTGAAAATTTTTACAATTCAGTATAATGGTTAACAACTTTTGTAATACTATTAACAACTTCAGTATAGCAGTTAACAATAAATTTTCTGGGAAATTCAACAAGCTCCAGCGACCGAAAACAATTATTTTGAAAATTTTTACAACTTCAATATAACCATTAGCAACTTTTGTAACGCTATTAACAATTTCAGTATATCAATTAACAACGGATTTTTTGGAAAACTCAACAATTGGTCGCCGGAGTTCCAGCGGAGAAAAACAATTTTTTTGAAAATTTTTACAACTTCAGTATAACAGTTAATAACTTTTGTAACCCTATTAACAATTTTAGTATAACGGTTAACAATAGGTTTTTAAGTTTGTTAACAGTATTACTGAAGTTATAAAAATGCCATTTTTTGAATTTTCTGAAAACCTATTGTTAACTACTATATTAAAGTTGTTAATAGACTTACAAAAGTTGTCAACCGTTATACTGAAGTTGTAAAAAATTTTCAAAAAAAACATAATTGTTAAAGTTATAAAAATGCCATTTTTTTAATTTTTAAGAAAACCTGTTATTAAATGCTATACCGAAGCTGTTAATAGAGTTAGAAAACTTGTTAACGACATTACTGAAATTGTAAAAATGCTACTTTTTAAATTTTTCAGAAAATTTGTTGTTGACTGCTATGCTAAAGTTGTTAATAACATTACAAAAGTTGTTAACTGTTATACTGAAGTTGTAAAAATTCTATTAAAAAAAAAATAGTTGCTAAAGTGGTGACAATGCCATTTTTTTGAATTTTTAAGAAAACATATTGTTAAATGCTATACCGAAATTGTTAATAGAGTTACAGAACTTGTTAACGGCATTATTGAAGTTGTAAAATTGCTACTTTTTGAATTTCTCGAAAAACCTGTTGTTAATAGCATTATAAAAGTTGTTAACCGTTATATTGACATTGTAAAAATTTTCAAAAAAATGTTTTCGGCCATCGGAGCTCCAGCGATCAATTGTTGAATTTTCCAAAAAGCCTGTTGTTAACTGCTATATCGAAGTTGTTAATAGCATCATAAAAGTTGTTAACTGTTATACTGAAGTTGTAAAAATTTTCAACTTCAGTATAACGTTAACAATTACTTTTTTTTTAAAATTTTTACAATTTCAGTATAACGGTTAACAACTTTTGTGATGTTATTAACAACTTCGATATAGCAGTTAACAACAGGTTTTTTGAAAAATTTAAAAAGTGGCATTTTTATAATTTCAGTAATATCGTTGACAAACTCAAAAACCTGTTGTTAGCCGCTACACTGAAGTTGTTAATAGTGTTATAAAAGTTGTTAATAGTTATATTGAAGTTGTAAAAATTTTCGAAAAAATTATTTCCGATCGCTGGAGCTTATTGAATTTCCCAGAAAACCTGTTGTTATCTGCTATATTGAAGTTGTTAATAGCATTACAAAAGTTGTTAACTGTTATACTGAAGTTGTAAAAATTTTTAAAAATTTTTTTCCGACCGACGGACCAATAAGGGCTGTGATATTTTAAAAACAATATTTAAAATGAAGGGAAATTTGATCTTTTCTTTTAATATGATAATCTCAATTTGGTCTCTTGAGACCAAATTGTGATTTCTCAAATTTAGCAGATTATTTGGGGATTATGAAATTCAAGTGGTATTTTTTTGTCTTTTTCCTTAAAATGTCTATCAGGAATATATAGAAATTACTAGTTTAGGGAAAATAATTACTGTTAGTTTTTATGCTAAAGAAGAATAATATTATGAAAATGTAGGTATAGTAAATAATGGGAGAAGAGGTAGCTTTGAGGCAGCAAATTAGGAAGAGCGGGACAAAACAGATGGAAGGACAACTTAAATGGGGGGGGGGGGTGTCCGGTGATGGCGGAGGTGGAAGATAGGGACGCCGTAAGTACGGAAGGGGACAATCCAGCACCGCGCTTCCTGTGCCAACGTCACCTTCAGCTATCACAACCGCCCATGTGAATGTGATCCCACCCCCTCACATCACATGATCAGGATTCAGGAATAAGGTGGTGTTTGGGTTGGTCCCAAGGCCCATGAGAAGATCCTTCACCCCTGGACCTTTAATTGGGCCTCTCTTTTGACCAATCCTTTTTTCATGTCATTTTGAAGAGCATACAGAAAAATGTGACATCTTCATATAGTTTCCATTGCCTCTGCAAATTCCTTGTGAGACGCGCGAAGCCCATGATACAGCTCTCCGAGTTCATATTTCATGCCGATGATTTTTTTTTTTGGGGGGGAGGTGTTGGAGGCGGGGATTCTTAAAATACGCCCATTTCTAGTCTCTTAAAAGTTAATCCAGGGCCTGTAGGAGGCATCAACCAGAAAGCCATGAAACACACAATTTTTTGAACAAATAAGGACAAGCCTAAGCTTGAGTCAAAGATAAAATAAAAAGGACAGGAAAATATCAAGCGGGTTAAACAAGGACAACCCGAATCATTTAAAACAAGTACGCATAGCCATTTGGCTTATCTCGGAGGAAAAAGTCAGTGCAACCCTCTGGTACGTCTTGAAAGAGTTTTATTTGACTCCAACTTCATGTCCATTCTTGGCTAGGCAGTCGGCGCATGTGATATTGTTCCTGCTAGTGTAGTAAAGCTTTACTCCTCGACCAAAAATTTGGTCTCTAATCTCAGCAATGAAACACACAATTTAACTCTCAAGGTTCATTAGTTTTATTGCTTTGAAGTCTTCCGCCCTCATCCAACAACTGGCAGCCAGCAGATGCATGTTTGGTTCTGTAGGAAATCAATCAAATTGAAATACGACTGATTCAACCCCTCATCCCAATAATTACGAAGTAAAGAAAAAGTAAGGCTACGGTGGAATTTGTCTTTGGAGGGATGAGGAGTTATTTTATGAATGAAGTACATCCGATCATTTCTCACGAGACACCACTTCAAAAAAACAGAAAACTCTAATATCCGTTTGGTGTGAAATATTGAAAATAAATAATAGGTGTTGGAATTGTAACTAAAAAAATCATTAAAATAATATTTAGAATAAGTAATTGCTTATTATATTGAATTAGGTAAACCCACAGAGGTGGTATTGAGGAATACCACTTCAGCTCATGATATTTCACAATTCCGTCTATATGGGTTTGACTAATCTTATATAAAAAATAATTTTTTATGCTAAACATTCTTTTAAATCTCAATCCTAATCTATATCCCTAATTTTCAATATTTCCCAACAAACGCCAGCTAACAGCCTTCAGTCCACGAATGGACGAGGACGAGCTAACCTGAGCACAGGAAATGTCCCGGTTGGAATTTTCTTGCAACGCACAAAATGCACCAATCACTTTTAGTTAGCAAATGGGCGCGAAAGAGCAGGATAAGCAGAAACACAAGAGAGTGGGGCACTAACTCAAAAATTCTCAGGACTATCATCCAGTTGTTTCTCATCTTCAATATCAACCTCCAATATCTCCTGAAAGAAAGCACAAAGGAAACAAATTATGAAATTGTGAAGCCTCTCACTCTAGTTAATTGTGCTGTGCCGATGAAATAGATGAATTGGCTTTGTGAGGTAGGGTTAATATAGACACCATAAGATGAACAAGGGACTCACCGGAATCCTCTGCTTGAGATAATTACCAACTCTGGCGAGGACAGTGGAGCGCTTGTGCCAAAACCGACCCTTGAGGCTAATCTTCACGAAAGGTCCGTCCAGTTCAGCCAGCTCAACCTTACCTGAATGAATTCATTCACCCGACTCTTAATTCTGCGTTCAATCCATAAATACACACGCCCATGGAATTACGTAAGCACACACCCACTCTAATAAATTACCAGTGATGCCGACAGAAGCATCAAAGATCTGACCAAGCTCCGCCCGGGCGTCGATCAAGGCCTGTCGCACGTTGTCTTCGGTGAGGTCAAGCGGTGGCGGAACAGGAAGTGAGGCGGATAAAGGTTTCAGTTTCGGCCGTCGCGGAGGGTTCGTCATATTCAGGCCCGCTGATTGAAGTGAAGAAAGGCGGATTTGGGCATTCCCTATTGCCCGCTTTCGCCGACCGGATTTGAGTACATTATAATGATTGCATTTGCTGGGTTGAGCTATCGGAACTGATGACTCTCTCGTCCATCTTGCATTAAGGATATCAATTGCCCCAAGACACGCGCTCCACTGGTGCAGTGACATGCTCCCCTTTTGCTGCTCACAGGGCACCAACAGAAAACTATGACGAACGGATAGAGATAACCTCTCCCTCGCCAACTAGTAACCCACATGTTTCTTGCCACGCGCCCCCGCCCAGAAGTTGATCCCACCCGAAGTAAACACTTTACCTCAGCCCGAAATGGGGAGATAAATAAATGGATTCGCTTTTTACTCGTTTCTGGAACAGTCTAGCTTCTCCATTGGCAAGCATCCGCGTTTTATGTTTGCAACGAGCACAATTACCAAAAAAAAAAATGTCAAGACGTGGCTGTAGCACCCAGTCTTTAATATAAAAATTAATTTAATATTTAATTTAATTTTAAATACTTTTCTGATTCTAAATATAAGACCCTTATACTAACTCAATTTAGAATAGGAAGAATATAAAATCTCAATACACTTTATCTCTAATATTTATTTATTTTATTATAGATAATTAACTTTATAAACTTTCTTAATCTACTCAAATTAAACAATTGGTTTTCACGTTAAGAATTGATAGTAATTAAACTCGATAACGGAACCAAAACTTACTTGGAGCTCCAACGTGGGAAACTGAATCATTCAAACGCAAATAATAGTACACGGATTCCGTTCGAAATAAAATGTGAAGTTGCCACATAATTCGCTCAAAAATCCAGACACACCAACATGCATTTATTATCTTAATTCACAACCCGCAGCTCAAATTTCGGGACTTGACAAAGTGTTACAGAAAAAACAAAACCCTTCTACATCGCATTACAGATTCATAACTGCTACTCTCAAGTCTTCTCTTGACTATCACCCAGCCTAAACAGCTGCGAAGTACTCCTTGCTAAGTTTAGGGTCTGGTTTCATGGACTTCTCACCGGGCTTCCACCCAGCAGGGCAAACTTCATCTGGGTTCTCCTGCACATACTGCAGGGCCTGCAAGAAAAATACACAGCACGGGAAGAGAGGAAATTAGAGAATGGAGAGATGGGAATAAGAAATGAACCGAAAGTAGGTTATATAAAATAAATATCGTTCGATCTTGGTGATGTCTTAATTGAGTGCGCAGTTACCTGCAGTGTTCTCTTAGTCTCATCAACACTTCTACCAATTGCCAGGTTGTTAATGGTAGAATGCTGGATAATTCCTTCCTTGTCAATAATGAACAATCCTCTCAACGCAATCCCCTGATCATTGGAAACACAAGGCCAAGAGAAGTGGCATGAAAGCTATTTCACAGCATATAAGAACTAGATGCTTTCTATATATACATCTATGGATTTACCTAAGCAGTATCTTATATGTTATTCCATAGGGCATCAAAGGTAAAGCTCCGAAAGTCACCTTGAGGAAAGGATTTCCCGCGGTACAATTTTTTTCCCCCCAAGAAAAACAGAGGAACTTGATTTGAATAAAGAGGTCTTTAAATAGCAATTATACGAAACTAAACTCATGCCTCTTTAAACACTTGCAAGAAGCTATAAAGATAATTGGCCCTTCCTACGTTTGTTAGGAGAGAAGACATGCAATCAGAGAGAGAGAGAGCGCTCTGAAATTTCAGCAAGTCTCAGTACTAACAATTTTAAAATGACTAAACAAACCTGATCAGGAATCAGCACGCCATATGATTTTGAAATTGATTTGGTGACATCAGATATCAGGGGATACTTCAAATCCCCAAGACCACCCGACTTTCTATCTGTTTGAACCCATGCAAGATGCGAGAACTGCAATAATAAAAGTAAAACCACTAATCAAGCAGAAAGAAATTCAGGAACTAGAACTAAATGCGCTATAAAATTATAAATATGAACTTAAAGCATGTACCCTACTATTTATGGACATAAGGTCAAGGGTGCAACATATTTTATGAAACTTATTGGTAGCTATTTTTCTTTTCCTTTGTTTCTGGAGGCAGTAAGTGGGCATAGTCTTTCCCACTTCCCTCACTTCCTTTGACAGCTAATTTAATATGGACAATAACATTTTCACTTTCTGTAATAGCTAATATAACAGCCACTAGCTGAAGAAGATAATAAAGAACTATACAAGACAATTTAACCTACCACACTGTCAACTGAAACACCCAATATCTCAGTATTTAGTGCCTCAAACTCTGCATGCCGATCACTGAAAGCAGTGATTTCTGTGAATGAGAAGTAGAGATTAGAGGGGAATTAAAGAAGCTGTAGCATTGACTACAATCTCAATAATCTCATTCTAGCATAGTGACAACCTGTTGGACAAACGAATGTGAAGTCCAAGGGGTAGAAGAAGAGAATGACATATTTCTTTCCAATGTAATCAGAAAGTTTGACCTGGAATAAAAAACATTTAAGCATGACGCTTTTCAAAAGGTATTGTACAATAAACAATTGAATTAAAAAAAGGACTTCACAAGCAGAGAATCTACTGATAATTAAAGGACATAAGAAGAACTGTGTCATCTACATTGATAAACTCTTGGTCAAAAACAGCCTCCGCTTCAAAATCTGGTGCTTTGTTTCCAACAAGTGGAACTTCACTCTGTAAAATGAAAAGAAAAAAACACACACTTTAAGAGTTAAGCCAAGGAAAAAAGTATGCAGGAAACTTGAGATTCAGTTTTATCGCGGAAGTTATTGCAGTCAATGGTTAAAGTTGATTCTCCCAGCGCATCAAAGAAACATCCTAGATTTTGCGATATTAGATGCTCAAATATCCCAAGCATCTGACACATCGTAGTGTTTCGCCAAGTGCTTGAAATACTTGATTCCTTTACAGCACTCTCACCCGGATTAGGATTCAGATATTTTTAGTTAAAAACTTTTTAAATGTTTTTAAATACAAGAGAGATTGAGAGAAAACAGAATACGACCAAGTGGGTAGAAAGAAAGGAAAATGACACTATTTACACTTTTACTCTAGTCCCCTTATGTTTCTCACTACAAAGACGTTGGAAATCCAGACCATCGAAATTCCTTAATTCCTTATTGTTATGACTTATGACTAATTAGTATTTCAACGGAACAAGACCGAAAATTTATCCATGAGTTTTAAGATGCTGCCAACAGAAAAACGAATGCTTAGCTTTGCAGTTCTCCCGCAGCGGGGCATTAGACAATAGTTTAATGAAAACACGGGAAATATACAAGAGCAGAAAGCACAGAGCAGAATATACCCTAAGAAACAAATCCATAGAGGTAGGGAAATTTCACGTTGAAGAGTTATTTATCACGCAATGTAGTACTATTTAAGACGAACGATGTGTAAGACGAGAAACGCAATAATCAAGTGTGCGGTGTTCCAAGTCAACAGTGCAAATTTCACAATTAATCAGACAAGAATAAGAGAAACGGCTAAGTACGGGGAAAGAGAGAGCACTTACAGAAGAAGCCTTGACAACGAAGCTGCGCCTAGAATGGGAGGCGCGATTCGAGGAAAAGGAATGAGGGCGAGCAGAGATTGAGGGTTTGCGAAGGCCAACAAAGGACTTGGGGACGGAAGGGGAGAAAGAGAGGGAGGGAGAGGATAATTTGGGAGAGAATAGAGTAGGGTTCGAAGAGAGGATAGCAGCGGAGGCAGCTGAGGAGGCCATTTGGTAGAGCTGAGTTCACAATTCTCTCTCGATCCTTCTCTGCCTCACCCTCGCTATGGCTACCCAAAGCCTGAGGCTGAAATGTTGGGTAAGAAGATAGAAAGGACGGTTCAAGGGTTGGTTGGTGAGTCGGGGTATGGACTATCCTATCGCATTTCATAAATTGTTTAATTTAATTTCTTTTTTTTTTATGAAGTGAATTTATACATTACATATTCTTTTAATAACTTCATTTCAAAATAATTGTGGCTTTCTTTATAACGAAAATTTACTCGACTTAATTCATCTGAAATAATAGCTGTATACCTCTATCTGGTAGGGAAAATTTGTTGGCAAAAAAAAAACATACTTGGGAAAAATTTTTAGCTGGAACCCCATCAACGACGAGCAGGACACTGCCTATGGCAGCTGGATCACCGCCGGTGTTCCCACTATAAAATTCTGTATTGTATAATTTAATGCATAGCTTAGTGACGAATAGCATTTTTTTTCAATTAAGTTTTTTGTCTGCGAACTAACTAAGAGGTTATGAGTTTAGATTCCTTCTGAATTACAGTGTTAAACTGGTATAGAAAGATCGATTAAAAAAAATTAACTGTCAGCCATAGAATTTTCAAAATAAAACAAAACAATGGCATCGTTTGAAAAGCATCTGCTTTTTGGTATAGAAAAAAAAAAAACAAGAACGAGTTACGCATGAAAGAAAAAATCAACAAGTGTACTCTTATCTATTATTTACTCGTTAATAGGCTTTTTAATTTCAATAATTTTTAATTTTTATTTTATTCCCAAATTTAAAATCTACTTGTTCTCGTTTCATTGGAAATAAGCACAACAAGCTTATCAGATTTAAGTATATAAAGAAACCTCTTATAAGGCTTAGCATATGAAAACAATTCTAGTCATTTAAATTAAAAGAAAAGTTGTTATTAACATTAGATTAGCAAGATTTCAATGTTTTACTTATACGACATTAATCAAATAATAATACCTCTGATTTTAATTATAAAACCTCGTTTGTAAATTACAAACAAAGTCTTATAATTAGAATCGGAAGTAGTATATGTAAGAGATATAATAATATCTCTTCTTTTTTATTGTTAAATGATACTTAAATTTTATTGAAGTCACAGTTATTAAGAAAACCATGTGTGTTCATTTGGGGAAAAAAACAAAACATATTTAAAGAAAAGAACTTTCAACTAAATGTAGCTAGTAAAATTTTAGCTTAAAACAGACTAATACTGAATTTAAATGCCATATAATTTAAAACTTTAACAATAAAATTGGTTGACGTGTGTGTATATTAATCATACATGCATATCTATCCAAGCCATAATTTAAAAGATAATTCATAAACTTTTAATAAATTGATGAAAAGAGTACAGACACAATAATAAAAAAAGTCATGCATATGTAGATATGCAGTGTATTGCCGTGTTGGTGTAAGAGATTCATCCAACATTTTTTGTTTTTCATTAAGCAGATATTTTTACATACAATGAATGTTGAATTTTGTTGACACTAACAATCAATCGTTTCAAATATTCTTGTTATGCAATAATCTCCAAAATAACAACAATAAAATGAATCTATAAAAATTGAGTCACCTTTTAACATACTCTGTGTAATGTTAGATACGGTGAGATGGGAAGATGGATTTATTGCAAAAGATAAAATGGTATGCCTTTTATGAGTTTTATATCTATTGGCAGACCTTAATTCAGGATGTTCCAAGAACATACATTGCAATTCTTCTAAAGGTACATGATTTTTAAGAATATTTTGTTTTGCTTTGTCTACCATACAGACTTAGATAATAAAGACCCTGGGATTTGCCAATATTAAATTGATACCCCTTCTAATTCTAAAGATAAAATTTATTCTACAGTGTGATTTATATTATAAAATAAGTTTTATATTTATAACTAGAGAGTATTTTACTAATATTAATTTGATATTGATATTATTCTGTAATTCATTCACCGCCAATATTACTGAACACGACCTTTTTTTTGCCTGAATTATTGAATACGACTGGCCACCGAGTAATCATAACCTTTTTTTTTTTTTTGCCGCGAGTAATCATAACCATATAAACTATAAATAACAGAGCATGAAAATAACTGTAGTCATTGTCCATGGCAGCAAGAGTAAGGTTAAAAAGGACGAGAATTAAGAAACAATTCCACCTGAAAAGTCAAAAGTAAAACTATTTTCTGATCAAGAAAATTAAAACTATATATACAAAAAATTTTAATTATAAAATTGTTCAAAAATTTAACTTGTCAGCTTAAAATCATTTTATTTCCATCGAAAAGCCATTGGTCGAGGCCACATGACACAGAGCCACCTCATATTATTAAAGATAAAGACAAAACATGTCCAAAAAAAGATGAGAATTTCCGTTGGAAAAAATATATATACAGGGAGCGTGCGTAGCTCCCCAGTTTTCATCCATATTTTAATACTGGAGGCTTGGTAGTTCCAAATTCTGGCTCGGGAGAGATCCAATCATGGAGGACGCTATCACCACCACTCTCACTCTGGAATCATCGACAACGACCCTCCGCCGCCGGAACTCCATAGCCACATCCGTCGTCCTGCCTAAGAAACTCACCGTCCCTGCCGCCACGCGACTTCAGCGTTCGAGCTTCGACGCTCTCCCAAACGACATCGTGCGGGCGCCGCCATCCTCGTCAGACTTGGACCAGCTCTCGCGCGGATCATCTTCTTTCGTGTCCTACACTTCTCTCAGAGATTTACTCCCATCCGCCACTCCACCTCCTTCCGTCTCTGTGTTCGGCTACGACATCTCCATTCGCAATCGCCTTGTCAAGCAAGCCGCTTGGGCTTACCTCCAGCCAATGTCTTCTTCCCCTACCGGCTCGTCCTCCTCATGCTTCCTCCGTCACTTCCTGCCTTATCTCAACTTCTTTTATCGCCGCCTAATTTCTGGTATTTCCTGGATTTTTCTTCGGATATCTCGGGCAATCTGGCCCCAATCGCAATAAAGTCACAGAATCATGGGGGGTATTCGTTTAATTTCGTTTTGTCTGGTCTAAACAAATAGAACTTTCATTGCTGCTGTAATTTCGAAATTCATTAGTTGTCTCCTATTTTCTGTGCTGAACGAACGAATGATCCCATTAATCGAAACTCAGACTGGTCACTTTGCTATCGTTGTTTCAAAATGAAGGAAAAAGAAGGGGCAAAGCATGGCAATGGAAGTTAATAACTTCGACCAAAGAACGAATAAGATGGTGGGGGAATTAATGTGACTATGTACAAAATACAATTTTTTTCCTAAACAGTTCTCAAATATGTGTAATTTTTGGATTTGTGGATTCGAGCGCCGGATTCGAGCGCGAATTTGGCTGAGGGTCATCCTCACGTAGAGGTTCGAGACTTCGAGTTACAGAATCCAAACGAACCTTGAACAGTTTCACAATTAGGTGTCTCCGAACTCCCTAGTGCTCGGTTTTTTGAGTCACTCCGACCAAGATGGTGGCTACTTGTGCTTCCTGTTGGCAAAAAAGGGCGATCCTTTTGGACGAGGGTACTGCGCCGCGCTTTCACCATGCTTATCATTTTTCTGCAATTACAAAATAGCTCCTGAGAAACCTAATTCGAACTTTTTTTAAGGATGACAGACTAATCAATTTGAGGCACGATTGAGAACTGAAGAAAGGATTTCACCTTAGTTGTGCTGTTGCCCCTAAATTTTTTAGACTGATCAACAAAGTACTCGAGAACTTGCAAAAATGCTGACTGGCCGAATTCTGAGCAGTTTTGTAAGTAAAATACCGCCAAATCCCAAATCCTAGCTCTCCACTCAAGCAACTTATTCTCAATATCACTCTCATGGCTTGTTACATAAGGTCGCAACACTGCATCATAAATAACTCCCGTTCCCTGTAATAAAGTAACAATCGTACTGTTGTTAAGTGTGTGACTTCTCATCTCAGCTTTCCTTGTTTATGAAAATCAATGTGGATGTCAAAAGCGCGTGAAAGAGAAAGCGACAAATCTCTCACCCTGTTTCCGCTATTTTCTTACCTTGGTTTTTGGATACCACAAGTAAATGAAAAGAGCCAACTTCAACTCTCCGTACATGGGCACCCTTTAAGAAAAGAGTTCAGCGTTAATTTACTACCCAAACTAGATTACTGGCTTCCAATATTATGCCAGTAATTGCATCCGACAGTTAACAAAAAGGGGAAAAATTGCATCGTACACATACCAGGAAATAAATATGTCGGCAACGGCTTCCACAACTGTGAGAAATGCCACAAGAACCCTGCGAAGCCATTCATGCGTTAGAACTTCATTCATATCGAATTCGCTGATCAAAATTAACAGCACTATTGCATCTTTCTCGTCTTTCTTTGTGATTCTGTGAATCCGATGTGAGGTTATTTTTTACGGGGTTTAATGTTATTCCCCCTGCCCCTTTTGGACCAAAGAATCCAATGTTAAATAAATATTTGCTCTGCATCGCAGGGTATTGATTCCGGATTGGTCATCGCGAAATAGATAACCCTTCTGGTGAAACGATTAATAAATGAAATCTCTAATTCATTATTCATCTTTCTTTGCGCAATTTATTCCCAGCTAAACAGAAAGGGCTGGGAATTCCTTCTTTATTCTAACTAGTCCAATTGTGATCCCACAACATAAGACATTTGAATGCAAAACTGAAAGTCATATATTTGACAGCAATCAATCGAGGACGGGCTGAAGAAGAAGGACCCCTATCTCTTACCAGTATTGACACCAGAACCGAAGCTCCTCATTCTGGACCCTGTTTCTCTCTATGGTCTGGTAGCATTTAAAGCCGGGGTAAGCATATCCAAGAAGCAATCTGAAATCCAGATAATCGACGAATCTAAGAATGCAAGATCAAATATCAAAATAACTGTAAGGAATCGTGCTCGGGGAGAGCATACGTACATAAGACTTTTAGTAATGAATTCTCCCAACATTTTCAAAGCCAACCGTTTGAACTCTGAAAGTAAAGCAACGCGTCAAAATTGTGAAGGGCCAAGCGTTAAAAATTTCCGAAACTGCAAGATCGCTAATGGCAACTTTCTGCAGAAGAGCAAGAGGGAGAGAGGGGCTTCCTCAACAATAACAGTTCGACTATGGCAATTCAGCAATCAAATGACTGGGTATGGGATTCCAAGGTAGAAATAGTCAGAGCCTACGGAACAAAAGATTGAAAGAAAAGAAATATAAAAATGGATGAGGATGATTCGCTGAGAAGATCAATCTTCGAAGCAAGATGAAACAATATTTAAGCAAGAAGCATGTGATCCGAAGCAACGAAAAGTTCGATATATATATATATATATATATAAAGAGAGGTGCAATTATACTAGGACAGAAACAGAGGATGATTCTTTCTTTACTTTTTAAAATTGTTTAAAGAAAAATCAGAAAGAAGAGGAGGGATTTCTTGGCGCGGACGCTTCTCTTTATTTTTGGACGCAAGCAACTCCCCGTCTGGTTTTATGGGGATGGTTTTTGAAACGGTCTGACAATTTCCAGGTGGCGGTTTAGGTTCGGAGAAAGGTCAGTTCCGTCATTTTGACCGCTGGAAATAGTGAATTGAAAATTCTTTTACGTCCTTTCAGCATTAGAAAAGTATTTGTAAGTTTGAACAAAAGCGGAGTAAGTCAAATGGATTAATGCGCTTAATTATATAAAATAGTCTTGTTGATGTTGGTTGAATCTACCGTTTTCTTTGGTAAATAATTGTTCGCTTTCTGACATACTTCCATGAAGACGCTTCCAACATTAAATTAGGAACAAAACAATCAAGGCTGCTTGTTTCCATTAAAGAATTTTAAATGCGTTATTATTATATAATTATACCCAGTCAAGCCCTATCTCTCTCTCTCTCTCTCTCTAAAAGAAAATTAAGGCGGAGACTAGAGAGCTGAACGAGTTGCCTGACCATGTGCCGAGGCTAAGTTGGCAGAACATTTGGGCGTGGAGGTGAAGAATGATTGTGGAGATAACTTATGGGGGTCGTGAATAAAAAGTTGAGGGGGAGGCGATCCATTTCATTGGAGGGAAAAGTATAGGCGTGAATCTTTTGGAAATACACGACCCTTTCTACTCAATTCAATTCAATTCAATAAATGATTAGTACCGAACACGCAAACTGAGAGCACGGTAATGGGGAAATGGATTGGCGTTGCGGATATTCATATCATTGACCTGGGACTGGTTGGTTTTTTCTCGTTACCCCTATTACGACTGTTTAATAAGAGGAGACCGGTTGTTTAGCGACCCGGGCTCGATGTCTTTATAATGTGTGGGACCTTCAACAAGCGACGACCTTTTTGTTTTTTCTTTAGCTTTTTCATTAGTTAAAAACAAGAGATTACTTAATGGAGGCGTTGAAGGCCGAGGGGATGTGAATGAGATGGAAGGAAAGGATATAATGGACATTTCGATGCATATTAACGTGACCTTAGACAGAGAGAATTACAATCAGGTCTAAAAAAGAAAAATTATTTCAAAATAAATTCTAAAAATTATTATTTGTACAACTTATCATTGTAGACTGTTTGCATTGTTACTGTGACTTTTTAATAATTAGTTTTTTTTTAAATCTCATTATAATTCTTCTCTTTAGATATGAATTAAATAGTCCCATTGACTGAGACGAAGCCGAGCTATATGTAGGCGAGAGGGATTGAAGCTAAGTGGGCAACCGTGACCAAAAACGTCAGAATGGCACATTGTGTGGTTGAACAAACATGCTGGAGTGGGCAGGGCTGTTTCCAATGATGTAACTAATCACAAAACCATAGTACATGCGGTAGTTTAACGGTTTCTAATGATTCTAGCCAACCTTTTTTGTTTCATCGATCACTATCTATGTTTTTAATGGTTTCATCACCAAACCACCCCTCATACGTCCTCATATTCATATATTATCTCTGGCCCTAATCATAAAATTCTATTCATAAATTATAAACGAGATTTTATAATTAAAATCAGAGGTAATACTTACCTCTTATATTCATAATCCTCTACTCGTCAGCCTCCATTTGTTATCCCATGCCCACTCTTTCTTTCTTTCGGTGAATCTCCCATACCCAAATTTGTTATATCATTATATCCTCCTAATTGTACTGCCACCGAGATATTTTTGTTTTTATTACTAATAGCGGATTTCTGACCTCCTGACCTGAGCCACCCCCCACCCATTAAAAAAAAAAAAAAAAGAGTCGATGCAGCGTGGACTATATTGGAGATTCTATGTATATATCTTCTCGAACATGAGGGGCGGCTAGTGCAGTAATACACGGTCGTTTCCTTCTTTTTTATCTCTACAAAGTACAAATATTATGCCTTGCTGAATGATTAAGAGTGATCTCTTTCAAATAATAATCTTGTTATTTATTGATCGGCTCACGCAAGAACAGGCGTGATATAAGAAGAATCAAGCGAGTCTGCTAATTTTACCTTTCACTTTTCAACGACCAGTTTGGTAGGTGAATGTTGGTGAGATCTCCAATTCGACCGATCTCACAGTAGCGAGGGTTTTTACATCACGTAATCAAATTTTCATTTTCGATGACGGTAATTAATTAGCCAGATTTTGACTTCTTAATGTTTCCAACCAATCGCCCCCAATTAGCGTAATGCGTCAACGAACCTCGACGCTCCTTCCTATAATTATCGTCTGTCAGGTCATGGAAAAATGATACACGTCATGGCTTATTTCATACAGATAATATTATAATACAACTCCTATCTGATACAAACTCTATTTTTTCTTTATTAGTTTTTTTCCCCCTTAAACAATGTAACTGGGTTTTAAAAGATACTCGTTTATGCCGGACGTGAACAAGCAAGGTACGTGCTACTCTTGATGGGTCAACCTCACCCAACTAAACTCGCAAATCGCAAAACACGTCTCATTAGTTATGTCTTTTTTTATTCTACTTATAAGTCACTTTTAATATGTTTTATATAGACTAAGAAAAATCTTAAATTTTATTAACTCTCGTTTAAAATTCAATAACTTTTCAACTTTAACTTATTTTAATAGATATTATACCTCATATAAATAAAGCCAATACAATAATAAATGGAAGTTGAAATTATATATTTGTACAAAAAATTTCTCTCAGTGCCCTATAAATAGGACAAAAAATATCTTCTATCCATCCTATAAATAAGACTAGAGGGGTATAGAAGGACAAAATAATAAATTAAATTTATATTTTTAATTAAGAGGAGTCAAGGGAGGGAAAAACGCCATATACGGTGTGGACAGGAGGAATAAAAATCAGAGACAGAGCTTGATCAAAAAAGAAAAATCAGAGACAGAGTCCGACCAGGAAAATAACACCGAAAACTTCCCAAATTAAATATACATGGACGGGTCAAAATAATAGATGAGAACGTGAGGATTAGTTGGTATTGCGATCATCCCACTGAGGACTGAGTGATTAATTAATAGGTAGAGCAAATAAGCCATGGAGATTTCGATTGATCGGCCGGGGCGCCTGGGTCAGAAGCTCAGAATCGTTGTGCTGGAACAAGACCGCCATGTGCTTGTTTTTGTGGGTAATTGCGAAGAAGGTGTTTCCTATCGATCCACAGATTAACTAACCGCCAAGCCTGTTCAAGTCTCACAATCTTCCATCCCAATTGATGGATATTCTGTTACTGGTACTACCACTTCTAAATATAAAATCTTATTGAGGATGATAAATATAAAACCCTAATTTACGTTGTCTTTCAAATTTATCATGTGTTCTTAAGAAAATTCTTATTAGTTGTAAGGTATTTTCACCTAAGTATAGTTATAATATACATGATTAAATAAAGATAATTTAAGAAAGTCAACACATATTATTACAAATAACTAATTTAACTAATTTTTTTAATCTCTCTAAATTAATTATCTAGCTCTCAAGTAGCGGAGGTAGTATTTGTAATCCATAACCTGCGCCTTATGTTTCTTCCCCCTTACGTGTTACGGACATAGTCAAACTTTTCTAGGTTTGTAATTAAATGGCCAACGAAAAATTTCCCTCCCTATGAAAACGTCGAAACGATTTTTTTTTTTGGGTACACGTCAGACAGTCAGTCATCAATTGTTTTTAAAATTTAAAACGTTATCTCATGAGAAATTAATTACTCGAGAATGAAGTTTTAGATAAGGGGCCGAAAGGCTCAGTGATTCCATCATCCATTTTATTAAGGAACACTAAATGGACTGTCACACATAGTTACTTTAAAGTTTAGACGATAGAATTTCCTACTAGAACCGAGAAGTAACAATGAAAAATGCATGTAAGTCGTCATTGGAATATGTTACAATAAGGAATTAAAATTTTTCACATTTAAACCACCTAAGGCTAATTTAAGGTGAAATGCCATGTGAAGTGTGAACAGGGACAAATGCTCAAAAGAGTTACATTTATACTCTATATGTAAAGGGATAATTGTTATGAAATCCCAAATTAAAAATATAATTACTAAAAAAAAATTAATAACAATAAAGTAGGCTATAACAATACGTTTTAAGATGAAAGAGATAAGGGGGAGAAACGGATGAGGCGGGCCATGAAGCTACTGGAACGGGGTATTTGGGCCAAGACGGGACAGAATTATGATGGGGTTACCGGGACTACCCAATCCAGATATTAACGGAACACGAGCAAAGTCCAAACTTAGGCCTGAGCTCTCAGGACAAGAGAGGGGATGATGGCATAGTGTGGCGTAAAACGCAAGTCTGAAGAATGGTTGGTGGTGGAGTAATAATTAGTGATCAGCAATTTCATGGCCTGACGGGGTAAAAGCCATGGCACGCTTCATCAGTGCAGCTCACGTTTGCCTTTTAGTTTTATGGGCGCCTGCCTCAATCTCCCAACCCCGACACACTTATGCCCTTTCTGCTTCCCCCGATGTTTAAGCTTCCATCTCTACTTGCAACCACGCAACCCCTCCCTTTCAAGAAACTCGTTGCTTTCTCCCCCCAGACAAACATGTGCCTTCTCATAACTAATTCATCATGCCCATACGCACCATTCTTACCATTTTAACTTCATTCTTTCCTTCTCATAACTCTTCCCCTTTATTCTGCTATTCCCCCTTGCCAACATCTTCATTTCAGTGTATTTCATATCCATTCCCCCGCTGGCATCCTCATAAGTATATAGTATATACCTTCTTATGCACAAGGTCGTGACTTCTTAATTATGTCATGCACTTCTGTCACATCATTGTTGGGAGAAAAATATTCACACCCTTGCCGTCATTTTAATGTAATTACTTGATTTTAAGGACACACACAGACACACATATAGATGTATAGATAATTCTTGCAAAGGTTACTTCTAAGTTTATATCGTACAAATTTAATGATGTGTGTGCAGGGGGACCGGTTTAACACTATGCCTCCATAATTCAGTGCATTAGCGTTAGTCGCAAATTGCAATAGTTGGCTGACAATCCTTCCAAATCAAGAGAGAACTTATACCAGGCATGATTCTTTATGTCTGATCCTTGATTTAGGAACAACCCAGATGTCAATTTTAAATCTCAGAAAGCGCACATTTCTTGGCTATTGTTTCACAGACACGTGCTACATGACTAATTATTCTTGATTCACAAACAACTTAATTTCACCTTTCAAATTTTAAAACGACAAATGCCTTGGCCATTATCCCACATACACCCCTAAACGGTCAACCCATATTCATCCGACTCACGATTCAAAACATATATCACGTTTCATAATTTTTTTCCCCAAAAGTTCCCAAGTTCTTTGAAAACAAGGACTTGACAATAGGGAAAATTAGACGATCTTTGCATGTCGTGAGAAAAAAATAGAAAAGAAAACGAAGAGATACTGGAAAGATTCTCAGATTATGAGAGGGGAGCAAGTTGAAGTAATTAACTCACAAAATTCAAGAAGAAAATAAAAATCCACGTCAGCTCATACAGGTAGGCCAAATCTCATATCCCACGCAAAATGGTTGAAAATTGGGCACAAAATCAAGTGGTTCAATTTTTTTATGGTGCATTCCTGCGTCCGTATTATAATTCGTCCTCCCTGTCATGTCAGCTCGAAGCCCGTGTGGGATCTTCCTAATCTCATATTTAATTCATGGCTAAAGTACACCTTATTAAGACATTAATTAATCAAATTCAAATCTCATTCTCATAAGCTATAATGCCACCAGTTACCCGCGTAATTATCCACGGGTGCTTCAAGTAAGTAGTAGTATTAACTTTGACTCTGACTCATCATGCACACGTGATCGGACGGTTGTCCAGCGCACTCGTTTCTCTCTCATAAATCGGCGGCCCTGATCAACTTTTCCTCAGGGAAAACAATCACCGTACGTAGCATATATTTATACGATCCCCCCCCCCCAAACCTCACGTCAATTCATATTACCTGTACCCTTGCCCCAAGCTCATCTTCCTTCGGTCTCCTTCATTTACTTTCATGCTCTGTTTCTCATGATCGATCACTCAGCAATGTCTAGCTCCAGAAAGCAGCTTCTTTTCAGCTCCGTGTCCATCGACCTAGGCTGCAGCAACTGCAGGAGACCCAAGATTTCTCACATACTCCATCCCAAGCCGAAGCCTCGCAAGCCCACTAACCAAAAGCTCCGACTCCGCCCCTATTCTTCTTCAAGCTCCTGGGACAACGATGACACCGCCGCCACATTCTCTCCTTACGGCAGCTCTTCGCAGTTTTCCAATGGCGAAAGCAGCGGGAGGGCGCCGAAGACCGTGAGGGGTTTGGGCAGGGTGGGAGGCGAAGGCGTGGCGGTGGAGAAAGATTCCAACGACCCTTATTTGGACTTCAGGCACTCCATGCTCCAAATGATACTGGAGAACGAGATTTACTCCAAGGATGATCTTAGAGAGCTTCTGAGATGCTTTCTTCTTCTCAATTCGCCGTGCCACCACGGGGTTATCGTCAAGGCTTTCACTGAGATCTGGAATGGGGCGCGTTCTGTGAAGCCCAACTCACCCATGTTTCACTTTTCTCGCAAGCCTCGTGAGTTCTAAGTTGCCCACGTGGTCACTAGTTTGGACAAATCTTTGCTCTGTCGACTCATCAGGAGATTTCCATTACGCGTGCTTGTGTCATCCAACTGTACAAAGAAGCCTTAATATTTTTCACTTTTTGATGTTAGCTAGAGTAACTTTCTTCATCATTTCTGATGAGGAACCATGGTAGAATTTTATTGAATATATTTATGGGCTTACATTATGAATTCATTCTGAGAATTAGCTAGCGCTGCAGAGAAACCGAATTCTGGTCCCATACATGGCCAGAAGGTTTTGAACGGCAGGGATATGGTGGAAAAAATATAGGCATCGGGATTTGATCGACTTACAATAATTAGAATGGTCTGAATGAGGAGGGGCAGTTGGTTTAATGCTCTTCAGGGATAATATTATGAGAATTGAAATTTTGCATAGACATGGTGCGTTTTCCAATGTTAGCATTAAACGTTGGCTTATTACATATCCACTCGCTAGCTTGCTGCTAAAAGTACACATACATTTATTTTATTTCATCAGTATTCATTCACAGTAATGCATGCACCGATGCCATATATAACAAGGCTGCGAGCTTGCTGCTTTCTTCGTAATTAAACCCGTCAAGAGAGGTAGGTTGCAATGATTCAATAAGGCCATCAAACATTTTCAAAAGGAATCGTCTCCATGGTGTCTTTATCTTGATATTAATATATATGCACACACACACACACATCCCGGAGATCACTCGCTGGTGTTGAAAGGAGACCAGATAGTGTTTTCAGGCAATAAGGATACAGACAACTAGTTCTTAATTAGATGCTTGTTTGTAATGACTAATTTTTCCAACATTTCAGATTGACTGGTGCCCAGTTGAAATAAATGAAATTATGTTTTAAGAAGATTTCAAGAAATGGAAAATAGACCAACTCTTTAGAATCTTCTGCATATTTTAAAACGCTGTCAAAGGAGGGAATATTCAATTTCAATGTTAGGAAGTGCACGTATATATCTTGAGAGCAGTGGATAACCCAGTCAGCAGGACAAACATTGATTTCTTTGAAAGGTCATGGATGACCATCCAAGCAGGGTTGACATCTTCAATTCTTGATTCCAAGGGAAACACGAAGGGTCGCATCATTCAAAGCCGGAAGAAGCAGATCTTGTTGGCAACTCAATCTGCGACAAGGATGTATAGCCAACGTAGCAACAAGAAAGCCAACCAACTCTAGCCAGCCTCTTTAATTCCCTTAAAGTCTTGCCATCCAGATCTTCTGTATATTGAATGCTTAACATGGCAAGTGTGTGAGCCCCAGTTATACTATAATGAGCTCACTCCAGTCACCAGTAAGTACCATTTTTATCAGATTTATACTTTATCTACTGCCACTGCTTGCAAGTAGGCTATTCAATTCAAAGTGAATTGAAATTGGACTAAAGCCCTAAAAGGAGTTCCTGTCTACGGACATGTATCTAATTATCTGCCATGTTTCTCCCAAGTGAGCGAAAATCTGAGTACTTTATCCTGAAAGCTGAACAGAGCTTTAGCCTAGAGGGCTTTATTGTGATGACAGAAAAGGTGCGTCAGCATGTACTGGATGAGCTCGTGGCAGGTGACAACACAAAACTTGGAAGGCATTAAAAGGTCAATATCTAAATCTGCTTTTTGGTCAAGGAAACGTGACCGCAGTTGAATGGTAATTTAAATGGTAGGGGATGCTGCAAACTGCGAAACTTCTACGCCCTAAAGAAGGATAGAAAATTGAAATACAAGCACTTGAAACCAGAGTGTTGCTAAATATTGATGAGAACAGCAGACTGGAGTATGTGATCTCAAGCATAGAAGTGTTGGTTTTCTAACTATTTTAACAAGTTACTGACTACGGTAGTAATCATTGGTTTTGTACTTGGGAATGGATTTGCAAAGAAGAAAAGGCAAAAAGAAAAACAACCCCCTCCTCTTTTTCTGGGTTAAAGATCCCTCCTCACTTTAACATGGAACTGCAGAACCCCCCGCCCGGTTGGGGGGCGGGGGACCAAATCAGTTACATCAAGTGCTTGGGAGGAGTCCACTCTGACTAGACTTTTGAAAGGAGAGAAGAAGAATATTTCACCTTCGGTTCTACCTACTTGAATATGGAATTTTTTAATTAGACAGTTAGCCAAGGTATGGCAAAAGTTAGTACGTAGACCCTAGAGTTAAGGTTCTAACTCCCAAAACAATGCAGAAAATGTGACATGAATATCACCAGACAACACTTCAGTAAAACCTAAATATACAACACAGCAGAACAAAAGAGCAACAGATTTTATTATAATACAATAATTCCAAAAAAAAAAAAACATTGCCATCATCATCATCATTTTAATAACGACAATCGTTTGTCCAACGCAACACCAAAAAGATATAGTACAAGAGGAAAAAATTTCAGATTTTCAAAGAGAGGCAATATATCTTCCAACACTCCTGGAGTACGAATATATTGCGTTGAGCATCCCTCTCATTAAACAATGTCCAACATTACAGATCTAGAAGGTAAGCGTCATGGGTTGAAAACATGAAGATGTTTTGAAGGAACTGTGCAAATTTCCTGAAGCAGCGCCATAGATGGGGATAAGCATTTACCAAGTCTGGAAAGCAAGGAAATATTCAGCCCCCAAATTGGCGCGCGTAATAAATAACTCTGGTTACCTGCAACGAGACTGGGCCTCATGTTAGGCCCATTTTAGCACGCCGTGTGTGTTAAAAGGACAAGCTTATGCAGGCCGAGGCCCATTGAAAGTGATGGAATCAATAAGACAAAAAGGAACAAAAGCAAGAACCAGAGAAGATTACCAACAAAAGATGTACGTACGATTTAGAATATGTGAAGGGAAAAATTAAGGATAAGGTAGTTTGAGAAAGTCATTCATTTTTTATAAGTGAGAGCACAGAAAGGGACCAACGTCGGATTGGGAAATGACCCGAAGTGCAATTAATGGGGGGCCACAAAAATGCGGTAACACCGAGCTAAGAAGCTAAGGAGGCTTGGTCCCGCTTTTCCTTGACATTCAACTTAATTTAATGTCGTCGGACCCAGAGCCAGAGGGTTCTCTCGCATTTTGGTCATCATCATCTCACAAGCTATTACTTTTTTTTGGGGGGGGGGGGGGACAAAATCGATCATCGTCTCAAAGTGAGCATCCCGGATTGGCTTCCCCAAAGCCCTTGACAACTACAAGCCCTCTAGCGTCTGTCTCTGTCTCAATTGGAAAACATATCACCGCAACAGATATGTACCAGTGAGTATATTTTGTGAACAGCGATGATGTGTGTTTATCGTAACTGTGTAATTAATTATCTGAGATGAGCAGTGAGGCGTCGAGGCTTCTTTGCAGCAATTGATTGAGGAGCGGATTTTTAATTTGTTGCATGCCTCTGCTTATTTTGTTTCATTTCATCACTGCTTGCTTCTTTGCGATTGCACCGATTAAGGTACTCTGAGCCCAGGCATGTAGCGGTTGACGTATAGATCCATCATACAAGAGAATGATGCCAACCTGATTGATTAAAGCCATTAAATTAAGCAAGACTGATAAATAAATTCCATGTTTATCTAATAATTTTATTCTGATTAGACATTTGAATAAAATCTTCCGTTTGACACTTAGGTTAACACAATATGCCTATATACATATACAAATCAGGGAGGAGTGAGAATTAATGAGTCGTGAAATTTAAACATGACGTGGTTGCCCTTCCCTTGGCCCAGTGATTAGGGTTTGAGCAATTTACGGAAGTCAAAAGTGTTTTACCTATTTCATATATCGTAGAATTATTTTTAAAATTATGATTTGGTTTGTATTCAAATAATTAAATACTGAAATCTGTGACTGTCTTTCTAGTATAGTACATTCACTAAACCCAATGAATATGATTATATTTTAATAACGAATAGATGTTTTTTTTTTTTGGTTGCCCAAAAGCTTTGCTCCGATGCAGACCTGACTGTGGTGGGTGATTGATAGTGATCGAACTTAATACCAAACCGAAACTATTTTCTCAGTAGTGATATTTTTAATTAAAATAGCAGAGCCCGTAGGTCTAGAAGCTTCGGCGCTAGAGGGGGAGCCTTGACTTGAGCCTGGAATCTTTGCAACGGGGAAGCCAAACGATCGAGTGCCTCGAATGTGGAGCTACGACATTGACAAATAATTAAGCAAAGCTTCCTCCAGTGTTGTCCGTGCGTGTTGTTGAATGTTTGGTGCGGCCGCAACCTGGTCTGCTTGTCGAGGTTGAAGATTATAAGCCCTTTTATTTACCTTCAACTCTATATCAGAATATATATATATATATATATCCACATAGCCACAAGTATGTCCGCTCCTTTTCATATGAGAACGTAAGATCCATGACCCGTCTTTGGTGGGAGTAAATTACTCAGTAAAAACTCATACCGCATTTATACTACCCGTTTCGGCTGTGATCCTGATGCATCTCCATTGAATATTTTGTCTTTATATTTGAATTTGCTTTCTGAAAGCGAGTCGAGTCTTTCTAAATGACTATGGACTTGTAGGGAATAAGAGATCCTTCTGTCACATCACGTCTTATTCTGGATCGGTTTTATCAATTTCATTTTTAAAATTAAAATTACATCTCCATGGCATTTCTCTCTCGCCCTCGTGAAGATATCCCCTCAATCCCTTATTATAATTTTTATTGTTATTACTTTTTTTTCAGCTTGAAAGCGAGTGGTAATGATTTAACATGTTATCTTTTTGTGCCAATGCCATAGGGGTATGGCCACGGGGCATGCTACCAAAATGAAAGAAACCAAAGACCAAAAGGAGCGAATGGATGGGGGTAGAGAGAGAGAGAGGTTAAGATCATGGAAAGTATAAAAGGAAGAACTTGAAATGAACAAATTAACTCGATCACGCATGTGTGTATATGTGAAATCTGTTCAGCCGTTGAGAAGACGAATGGCAGTCTTCTGTGTTCTTGCTGAGCGATCTTAGGGCAGCAAATATATTCTGAAATTAAACAATATACACATACTACTTGGATACGATTGAGGCATATACAGACAACGGTGGATTTCCAACAAAAGGCAAACATACCCAATCCAATGTATTTATATTCTAAGCGGCAATAAACCCACAAATATAATGCCTCTTGCTGCAGACTATATGATCATCATGAGCTCAGAAATGAGGACCACGTCCAAGATTCTGCGCTGGATTTGTTCCCATCGTTTGATAACGACTTGCCATTTCAAAAGATCGACGTCTCTGATATCCTTTACCTCCTTATCTCACCCTTCTTCAACCTTTGTCCTTACTCCTCAGTATCTATATATGTTTTATTAATTATTAGATTCAAATATGTAGAATTAATATATACATTTGGTTTCTGTGATGCATAACTCATCAAATTGTGTGTGTGTGTGTGTTTGTTTGTTTTTTCTCTCAAAAAATAATAATATAGCTCCGACGAGTTATCGTTACGTTAATGTCATTTTAATTTGGGGATTGATTATGTCCAGAAAGGCTCACAATTTATCCACATGAACTCTGATGGCCCAAAAGACAGAATGCCGTCTGAGGAAAGCCCTGCATAAGCCATAACCTGCAGCTAGCTATCCTCGGTTTCTTCTCCTATTCATATCTAGTACTTATATTTATGATGTATAAAAAACGCCATGTTTCCGGATAAAATTAACACTGTCCATATCGAGAACGAGAGCGATATCTTTTAATGCATTGCACGCAAGTGGGGTTTTCATAAATCATTTACTTAGCCCAAGTTGGTTGCTAAGTGATTTTTTCCTTTCCGCAAAAATGTTTTGACGCAAGATTAATTAAGCTCCCCAAACGGGAAATAATAATGACGGAAAAGGAGAACTGGCTAAAAAAATGACAGTGGCACACACTTCACACGCTTGCACATTCTTGCTACGGGCGACGCACCGAATGAGAAAGAGAGACAGGTAGACACAGGATTCGTCAAAAATGTGGGAGTGTTATACTTATGAACTGCAACATTTACATTACCCAATCTGAGACTTGAATCAAGCATTCAAAGAAGAAGCCTCGTCATGACGGTCTATATCCTCCCTAACTTGTTCTGACAAGGAAGCCGAAGTTGAAGCGGGATCATTTGCATCAATCTCTTCCTCGGCTTCTAAAGAAGAATAATTAACACAGTGTGTATTAAAGGAAGAAGACAGGGACGAAGTATAAAAAGATAAAGGAGAAGATGGGCAGGCAGAAGGAGCAAGGCCAACCAATAAATCAACAAAAGCAGCGAGAATACAGACGTGATTGCTTTTGGCATTGACTCTCAAATACCAACACAGAAGCTCCTGCAGAGCCTCCAAGTGCCTGAGGGCATCATGAGCCTCCACCATTTCCTCCATGGACTTTCGAAAGTCTCGGTAAGGGTCTCGAGAGTCCATGGATAACATGAAGCTGTCTTTGAATGGTACGCGTCCTCCTGCAGAAGCTTTCGTCTCTAATATGGAGCTAGTCTCATCTGGCTCGAAGAACAGCCGCCGCCGGTCCGACCGCAACCCGCGAACCAGGGTCTCTACGGGGTCGACTTCCACTGCTGAGGAATCGGAGTTGATGGGGTCGAACAAGTCGGTGGTGTTGGCTCTGAAAGAGAGGGTTCTGGGTTGGTGACAAGACGGCCACGGCCAGGAAGAAGAAGATGATGACCTCGTTTCTGACTTCTTGACGAGAAACGGTAGCTTCATTTTCTTGACCATCTGAGTTTTGCTGAAAGGTTCGGCAAGATGACGTTTGGAGGTTGAGCAGCTTTGAGTTGCTTAATTCAATGGGGGGAATTAATGACAAAATCTCCGGTGGTCTGTGGTCTGGGGCCAGCATTTCAAAGGAGTGGCGAGATGATGGCCAGCTGTATAGGAACTCGTGGGGCCACATTAAATTCGATACTTTCTGTGATCATTTATTCAGTATTAATTATCGTTCCTTTTCATTCATTTAAAAGTGGGACTACCTTATTTTCGTCACATTATTCTCCACATTGTCGTTGTTAATTCATTATACTCAATTTTGTTTAGTCTGGTGGCTCTTTTCTCGTCCACTAGTAATAGTGTTATATCCGAACAACATTTTCTCTGATACTGATAATTATTTTCCCTTCCATAATTATTTTCCCTTGGGCATTCGGCCAACAAAAAGGATCCCCGTTTATTTATCTTTTGGGCCGTTAAATTTTAGGTCGACATAATTTTGTTCTGGAAGTTTTTATGTATAAGGAGTTGTGGATGTTCAAAAAAGTTTTTGAGATCAATATCGTTCCAAAATTGTTAAAAAAAGAGTAATGATAGTGCTAATTTTATTTTTTTTCATATTTAACTAATTTCATATGAAAATAAATTAATCTTGACGTAACCGGAAAAAAGCTTTTCTTTTTCTTTTTTACCACGTGCAATGCATAATTTTTAAATCTATAGATATTTTACTAAACATTTATAAACATATTTTCATGCTCTTTAATAATAAATTTTGGGTACAGATTAAGTCGGAAAATATACGTATGAGAAGAATAATGACCCATTAAAAAAGTCCAACAACAACAATAAAAAGACTCCTCCCTCCACTTTTTATTATAAGCACATTCTAAGCATGATTCTGTGGTTTTTAGGTGGTACTACGTCACGGTACAATAAAGCTTATCTGGGCAGGTTTCAGTGGAAGAATTCGAACCCAACTCTCCTCTCCTCCTGTTGAATTCATTCGTTCTCATCAAACAAGGCTAAACTTTCTTCTTGTTTTTTTTTTTGGGCACTCAATCAGTCGTGATCTTATGGCGTTTATTTGTTCTTAGTTTAATTTGCGTCCTTGATCTTCCGATAATTCGATAGAGACGTCAACATTGCAAATACCTTTAATTGGAATGAAATTAAAGCATATTCTCCCCGCCTAGCACTTATTTTTCCTAGCTGCTCCATCCCTGTATATAGAATATAAAGTACTTTATTTTTTTTGGGAACAAAATCAAGTAACTTTCAAGTTTCAAGTACTTACTTCTATCGTTTTACAAAATGCTTATTGAAAATGGAAAACGGAGTAGGTATTAATTAAACACAGTGGATTTGTCAAGAACAGTCACAAGACAGTGGCGACTTTGGGCTAAAACCTACGGCTTAACACGTCGACATGAAATGTCTTAGCTGCGATTTTCAAATTTCCAAGCAAGACTGATTAGAACAAAAGAAATGCTGACTAAATCTCGTACTTTTAGTAACGATCCAGTTGCGCCGCCAAGGAGTGGCGGGGCTATAGAAGCGACATGCATGTATTTAGCTTCAGTTATGGCATTCCATTGTGCATGGCATGTATATCTGCAAGAGATCGAGGCAAATTAAAAGGACATTTTTAGTTGGCTTTAATCTTCCTAGTACACCTAAGCATTATTTCTTCAGTGGATGATTTAAACGTCTCAGAACTGGTTGGAATCTGCAGGGGTCCCACCTTTGGAGCTCACGTGGTTCGGCAAGAAACTGAATTACTACTTCACCGAATGGCGAATGGACGTGGGGATCAAACCTTAAAAACAATTTGGAGTCTTTTCTTTTGAACCCCCTTCTTTCACCGAAGACGAAAAAATCCTTAGTAAGAGAACAATGAAATAATAATGCAGAGGGAGGTAGATTCTGGCGGGAAAGTGAACAAAACTAATTCAAAATGATGCGATTCATTTACGAGTCACGACACACAGAGGAGGATGGTATGTGGGGATGGAAGACGAGAGCAAACCAAGAAAGATGAATCTGCGGATATTTACGATCGTCACGTAAGAATCCAGAGAGTGCAGATGGAGACCCCTGGCTGCGAGAGATACACAGAAATAGACCAACTGTACAGTGGCAGTGATACTAACATGGCAAGTTGGCTTCTTCCATCCCATGGCGCTTTGTTACTCTATTCACTATTCACCATCTCATGAGTTCGGTGGTATGGTCTTTTCACATTCAATGGGGGGCGCTAAAACTAGAGAAGGTCACATTCATGATAGTTCAATTTATATCCAGTCAATTCAAGAGAGTTAATTTTATGATGATGAAGGATAAGGTTGACCGTGGGATTCCAATGTGTGAGAGGTAAATGGGATACAGAGGGGCCACTCTGGCTGATAAAATGGAATCAAAGGGCCCCAGTAAGCAACTATGACCACAAGCAGGAGCAGTTGAAGTTGATGGTAGTGGTCCTTTTAATTTTTAGGATATGGAAGATGAGGGAGGGACCTTATGTTATCTCCTAACTCTGGTAGCATCTCTGGCACATTGGACCATGACATCCAAATCCTTAGCACCTCACGAGATGAATCTTGTTTTTTACCCCCAGATTCTGCATCCAAACGAAACAGTAAAAGAGGGTTCAAAGCTTCCGGTCATGACAGTCATTGTATTGCTGTAATCCCATGGCCCCTGCTTTTCATTGGTATCCCGTGTAACTACTAATTGGAAACACAGATTGAGAATGTGAGATCTTCCCCCCCCCCCCCGGCGTTTGCTAGAAGAAGTGGTGTATATCTTCTATTTTATTGCTTCATCAATGGTTTTTGAAGCAGCAGAGGTCTCTTTATTGTTATCAGTGAGCACAGGCCAGGTGGGACAAAGGCGCAGATGACAATAGACGTTCACTCCAAGGACTGATGCATTGCTACTATTCCCAGCAAGTAGCAGAAAACATTGAGTGCCGGTTTCTGTAAATTGATTTTACCTACAATGCCATGCTTTGGCTAATGTTGGATTCTAAACTAAACAAAACACACACAACTTCCAAGTTAATGGGAAATTATTTTTAAATTATTCAATTAAAGCATGAAAAATTATTTTCTCACTTTTAAAAAAAAATTGTACATTTCATGAGATGCGGAAGTAACAAAATAATCGGGGGGCAATAGTGCATGGTCACATGCACCTGGAACCAAAATAAGCAGAAGGCCGTACCCTACCCTGTTTCGATTGGGGACTTGTTTTGGAAAGGAAGGGTGCTTTAAACATACACTAGAAGGAAAGGTCATTTCAAAGGAGTGATGGGTCCCTCTCCCTCAGCTATTTTAAAACTCGTGTACTCCCATATTAATATTCAAAGATTTGTGTCATCCAACAGCTAGAGCCAAGACCACAAAACATTCTGTCAAGCCTCCCTCTCCAAGCATGTCAAATATTAACATCTCATATCGTACAATTCATACATTATACATTGTCACCATCAAAGGACAGCCTTGACCCACCCATCCATTTGAGTCAGATTAATTTCAGTACCTAAATGTGCATATCTGTGCGTCCGCCAGTCCATTATTGACACAAATTTTACCACCTTTGAGCCTTTCCTAGATTCTCTTGCACTATCCCCCTTTAGCGTCCTCTGCAAGCAGCCTCCCCTGTTACCCTGAGGCTTTCTTTATCTATTACGCCCTTTGGCTGATTGAAAGGTGAAGGCAATCAGCGTTTCCCCCACTTACTATACTTCGTTACCAGCAACAAATATTTCTCACCCATCATGACCCAATTTGAAATCACGTTTGAAGAAATTACTTATAAGAATGTTTTACGTAAGTTAAGTCAAAACTTTTTATATATTTATCTCGTATTTATTTACGATTAAAAATTTACTTATAAGTCATTCCAAACAAAATCTATATTTATAATCACCAGATTGCAACTCCCATTCCTCGCATGTATTTGAAGATAAATCACAATTCTTTTTACGACTTACAACTAATATAATTTCATATAAATCTTCTAAAATATATATTGAAATTGATGTTATACAGCTTTTCCCACAAAATTACTAAACACTTTTAACCCGTTCCAACCACAACACAAGCTAAGCCGAATATTGGGATGAGCCCACTATAGTGACCTACTGGGCCCACAAAAGGCAGAAAACAAACCTTCGCCCATAGACTACACTGGGTACCCAGGCAGCTTATATTCTTAATGAATTAACGAATCGTCACAATCATTCTTGAAACCTGTTTTGAAGAACAATGAAAACCCCAAGGCACATTACTACTGGCAGAAAATCTAGCCTGAAATCCCATGCAAGCCACCTGCCGCTGAGGCTCGACTTGATTTCTTTGAAACTCGATTTACTATTTAATGACCGGCAGGTACTACTGTCTATCAATGTCCAATACATTGACCGATCAAAATTTACAAATTTTCCTTCAAGGTATGCGTTACTATTAGAAAACACTAGATCCAGCGCCGGGTCAGCCACGAGCATCCCCATGATAAACGCCATTGGTCGATTCAGCTCCAGCTTATTTACAAGACATGAAAAAAGACGAACGCACTTTTGTATCGTACCCCAACATGTATTTTCATATGTTGCATAAAGTCTGAACTGAATTGTATTGTTAATGACTTGTGAATACGAAATATTACGAATTTTATATCCCGTATCAATAGAAGTACCGCTTTAAAGAGATAAATTCCAATAGTCGACACACTGACAACATCCAGTCAAACAGTATCCCTTCAACACAGTTGACAAAGTCTGATGACAAAACAACTTTGAAGCCATGGGGAGGGAAGGATGAAACCATTTGGGGCATTCCCCTCATATGTTCTTTAAGATCCACAAAGCATTACAAACTATATTGCACGGTACAAATGCAATATGATATCACCTATAAGTCCTTGGACGCTAAAAGTAGGTACCTTCTGGAGGCTGGACAAGCTTCCGGTTATGTGGAGCTGCCATTTCCTTCTTCAGCTGGGTCAGTATATCCTCCATGGTGTACTCTCGTTGCCAATTAGCAAGGACACCAAACTTCTTTGGTTCAACCTGTTTCAATTGCACATCTTAAATCCTGGATCCTACACTTATTTGGTTTTAACATTGCAAAAAAGAAGAGGATTAAATTTCATACTATGACAATGATAAGAGAAGTTAATCCGGATATTGTTCAAATAATCATCATTATTGATTAAAAAAAGAAAGAAAGAAAGAAAGTAATCAGTACATAAATTTCCATCCCAACAACCTAGATAGATCGCTGGAGCATAACTCTCTTCTAACGTGTCTGAACTCATTCTCAGTTGATAATATGAATAGCAGTAAAAATCTTGTGAAAGCCAACTGCATCTATATGCCAACAGAGCATGCCCTAAGCACTGACCAAAAATATAAAAAATCTGAAAGAATTTAATGAAAATTAAGGACTGATACCACTCCAGTTTCATGATTAACACAGGTCATATTGATCCGTGAATGAAATCGAACACTTGGGGGCTTCTCTGGGTAATCTTTATCACAAAACAGCTTCAATTGATAAATCCTTCCTTCATGTACAGTCTGACAAAGAAAGAGAAAGAAGAAACTTATTGAACCCTGAAGCAGTTTCTCAATTACAAATAAATTTAAAACAAAACAATTATGATATCCCCAAGGGATATACAAGCTCAAATTTTCAGATTTCAAGGTAGACGAATCATTCATACTTAGATTTACTGACAGCTAAGGCAAAGGGGCTACGCAATCAAGTAATGCAAAAATATGCTGGCTCTTTAAAGCATTATACTATGTGTTATACTTCCTGTATCATTCTGTATGGAAGCCAAGGACTACCATAGTCCCATTCTTAATCACATAATGAATACCAACTTGTAATAAGACTTCAGTCTATGATTATCTGCAGCCAATAGTATACAAACCAAAGTTGTCTAATGATAGCCAACTAAGCCATCCACATTCATTAACACATACACACCCCGGGTACAGAAATAAAGAGCTGGCATCAGTCCATGATCCAGAAGTGTACAAAAGCATGTGCAAGGAAACTCGCAACATATGTTTAGATAAAATTATCTAGCAGTTACCAATCTTAGGACCCCATGAAATTAAGGACTTGGAATTCGTAATTTCCACACATGTACAAGTTCTGAGAGCTGATGAATTATGAAAATTATTGCATGCATATTTCACTTGTTCAAATAAAATAAGCTGACTTTGCACACAAACAGACACTGAAAAGTAAAGGCTGGGGTGTGAGTGAGATATGTATACTTACATTATGGGGACCAATGATGGTGCCAGTCCAAGAGCGCATGTAAATGTCATCACCATCGTCCATTCCATAGCTAACTGTGCCATCTCCAATACCTTTTTCTCCCCGTTCAAGTTCCTCCAGCAATCTGAAGTTCCTTGGAACTGCATTTATGGATAATTGCATTTAACAAGACACACTTAGAAGTTGAAAAGAATGTCAGCTAATCAATTATTGTAAGATATACAATATCCAACTTGTCATAAGATGTGCGTTATCTTGTCTCATATATTTCTTGCATATAATAATTTCTCCAAATTTCAATAGAAAAATTCCCCTCAGATGCTTAATAGCAATGATGTTGGGCAGTCTGGGAATAATGATGTCCCTTTTTCTGATTCTTACACTCAATTATCAGAAGCTCAGGACATTTATGATATATACGAGCCACATGACAGTCCTTGTATGTTTTGATAAATTTTTACATGTATCAGATCATCGACCTCATCAAGCGAGCAGGGCTAACCTTTCTCTTTCACAAGGCTTCTACGCTTGTTCAAAGTTACAGCGTTTGTGGACCAAAGTATGCCATTATGTAATGAACAAAGCATTAGCAGCCCACATAGATCAGCAATCGACATAAATAAGAAGTGAGGTTAAAATATGTACAAGAGGTGACAAGGTCTTCCGATTCTCTAATTGTATAAATACGAGTCTCTTCATGGTTCTTGCATTCAATCACAGAGAGGGATTGTCTAACTTGGCAGCCTTTTTGACAAACTTGAGCAAATAGAATTAGAAGAACAAACTCTTGACAAGGGATGACTATAAATTCCCCTCATGTCTTTCACTTCAAACATAGCTACGGTTGTGCTGGCTTAAATTTCAAAATTCGATGCTTAAGAAGGAGAGAAGAAAAACATGGTCTCAAAACATGAAAATCACACACTGCATGCTACAAACAATTAAGCGATCCAAATTTTTTTCATGCAAAAGCGTCCGTCATACGGAATAAACATTTCAGAGGCATCCGAGTACACTAATCTCTTGAGAAGCAGATAGGCACGGAATAATATTTGATAATTTTTGCAATAGTGTACTCATAAATAGCCCGAACCAAGGTTTAAGGAAATTCACCAACGAAAAAACACCATGTTAAACTGCAGTAATCGATCAAAGTCCCGCAGAGCTTATATCATCAGTCACGAGAAGAAAGTTGAGTAACCAAGATAAAGAACCATAAACAATTAAGAAACAAGAAAATATTCGGAAATGGGAGCATCGGGTGTTTTAAAGGTAATCAAGCAAATAACCAAGTATACTCGTCAAAGAATTTTCGAAGTAAGACAGGTTGGGAAAAAGAGAAAACAGCGTTAGCAACCCAAACAAGAGAAAAAGAAAAAGAAAAGCGTAGAAGAACAAGGTCAGGGGTCTGCAACTCACCCACGACACTCGATCCTTTTGAGCCAAGCGTCATGGATGACAAAGGGGGAAAATTCTTCGCGTCGATGTGTTGGATCTGATGAAAATATGAGATTATCCGGGGACGCAGTGGGCAGGATAGGAGACAGCTCTGGAAGGGACGGAGGCAAAAGTGGGAATAAAATAGAAGGCGAGGGGCAATACAGGAGGGGAGAAGGGTAATTTGGGTACCAAAGTTCAGAATAAAGCGGACTCTCTTATTTCACGCTTCGTTTTGAGGTTTTTCTTTTCCATGTTTCTTGCTTTTGGATTATTTATTTCACGTTTCTGAAAATGAAACGCACTGCGACCCGTATTGATTTTTGGCCCGTTACCTTTGTCCTTGGTAATTTTTCCCTAACTACCTACACACACACATGTATGTAATCTGTCCGAATTTAATACAGTGGATTGTATTAAATGTTGTATACTTGTTTTGGCCAAGAAAGCTATAAATGTTTTCACTACCATAAGAAGGATATATGATTTTAAATTTAATTTCTAAATTAACTTCCTAAAATTTTAAAATATTTTAACTATTTGTGATATATGATATATTTTTATAAAATTTGGATTGAAAAATTTGGATTGAAAATAAATATTACAAAAAGTAAGAATGTCACAGGGAATTATTAAAACAAATTTCATCGATGGAATAAAAAAGCAGCTGTGCCATTTACTCGAGACATTTACTTTCGCAGGATATGACTAGTTGGTTGCATCAGCATCAATATGCAAAAGATGTATTCTATTTCATACGAAAATAAAAATGTCCATCTGGGTACCCAATATACGCTTGGCTTTAGGATTTGGAGATTCAAGTTGCCAAGTTGTTGGTCTGGGAGGCAAATGGCAGCCAGGTGCTTAAAGGACCACAAGCAGTGGACGCTTGTTACCACTGGCTTTGATTTCTAAGACCTGATATCCAATTATGGGTTATGGGAGTTCAGATTCTCCCACTTTTATCAGGTGTCTGATTATGTTTTGTTCGTGACCGTGTCATATTATTCATTGCCATTGGTTGAAGGGACTGATTTAACTAATCATTGAGAAGCATGTCGTTAAATGATCTCACCAATTCTAAATGTGCAAATTAATTGGAGTTTATGAAAAAAGATCAGGGGAAGGTTTAAACGTGCCGACAATATTTACTTATCATTATAGTGCTTATGGGCACGATCAACCAAGAGGCATGGTCTTGACGTTTGGATCGAAACATTGGCTGGTCTTAGTGCCTATAAATGTCCAGAGCTAGTCCAGTGAATCAATCTCAACCCAACTGTCATCTCCTGTGTTGCTATTTTCACCATAAGCGCCAAGAATACGAAACTTCTTTGTTTAGCCCCAGCGTCGCTCGTCAAAAGTAGCAAGAAAATTCCCCGTGCATAAGCAATAAATGGGCTAAAAAATTGGCAAGAAGGACCAATACCTCAAGAAATCTCCAAGATTTTATATTGACGATTCCTGAAGCTCTGTTACAGATTTGCAATGCTTACCTGCTTGGGACATTTCTTCAATTTTTTTTCACCCATTTAATCCTCATCCGCAATTTCCCTAAATTTTTATCTTATATCCTTAGCTTTTGATCTGCATTACAGCTGGATTTAATATTTACACCAAACTCAAATCCTTGGACCTAGTTGCACCAAACACTCGGATGTTACTTATCTTGTTCTTAATTCTTTTTCACGTCACGTTAAATTGATATGCATTGTATGCATTACTGGCTACATCTTGAAAATGTTAAAACTATTTTATATTTCTAAACGTAGGGTAAATATTTGATAATCAAAATATTTTCCCAATCTAATCCTTTCTTAATTATAACGTTATTATGATTTCCTACAGCACTTTATTGTGATCATCGTTCTTTTTTTTTGGGCCAACTATGGTCACTAAATTCATTGAAGGGAAAAACTGAAAAATCACTTATTTTTTTCTCGGTTCAAAATATTTTCTCCCTACTTTATCCTTAATGCAATTTCAAATTTTAATAAGGATATATTTGAAAAATATTACAAACTTTTGTACATATTTAACGATGTTGCTCCTATTTAATTATCATTTTTTCGTTTTTAGATGTAGTGGATAGGTACAAAATTAGGGAGTCAGAGAATTTATTTTTTTCTGAAATTTTTCTTGTGTTCTTTTCAAATATCTCCCTAACTAAATATTGGCGTTTTTGAAAAGATCATTTATTTGGGACGGGGAACAAATCCGTTGGCAAAAAAAAAGGGGGGGATGGGGGCAAATCATTAAAGAAAAATATTTTTAGAAAAATTAAAAATGCCATAAAATTACGAACTAGCTGATATACTCAGGAACAGTCGTTTTTTTTTTTAATGTGTAGTTAAAGAAGACCTATGACCTCAACTGCTTGATATAAAAGTTAATGGACTTATTTGAGCATATTAAGAAAATTAATAAAGTTAGTTATTTTTAATAAATAAATATTATATTTACTAAGATACCCTTACTAATCATGTGTATAACTACAATTTCATAAAACATTAAACATGAACAACTATTGTGATGGCTACCTTAAAAAACAGATTAATATAAAAAATAAAATAAATTAAAATTTTATATTTAAAATAAAATTAAAAGCTAAATTACCTCTTATGTTAAATATAGATAATTCATCGTATGACTAAAATATGTGGTAATAATCTCACGGATAGTATGTGAAACTAAAGTTGCGGAATAATTGCAAGTGTGGATCACGAAATGCTCCTGTTTCCGGACAAGGTTCCATGAACACCCAAACTGATTGAAAGCAGCACCCCTAGCAAGTCAAACCTTGACACCGGGGTTACCCCACTTTACCTGAAGATAATGTTAAAGGGGTGTTTGGATCCAAAAACAAAAAAACACTTAAAAAAAAATTTTTTTTACCGGAAATAAAATTTATCTCATATATTTACCTCAAACTTTCATAAAAAGCTAATTCAATCCTCTGTCCCTTCAATTTCTTAATTCTGTCCAAACACTCTATTGCCAGCACTGCATACGCAATTTGTTTTTCACACAGTGAGGGAAGGACGATTTATTAAAAGCATCATTTAATGGTGCCGCCTGCGATCCCAGTGCACGGTTTGGTCCTCACCGGAGGCCTCTGCTCCGACGACGCTGTGGCCCCTCTTCTCGATGACCGTTCCCTTTCTCTTCCCACTCAATACAGGTGCTCTTGCCCTGGTTGTATCCACAGCGTACCTGAGCAAACGAACATTTATAGAATGGGCAGAGTTATGTTTTTGAAACCAACCCCGACCTCCCCTGTTTTCTAAGCACTCATCACCACGTCTCCTAACGTTAATGCTATCGTCCTTTGCTTGCTTATTGATTTTATTGACTATTAGTTGTGCATTCATTCTGATCTGTGAGTAAATTGATTAGTATATCAATTAAAAAGGGTACTCATGAGCCCAAAGAATTTATTTGATTGTCACTCCCAGTGCTCTGCTTTTCATGCTTACTATTACAGTACTACATTTTTGAACGTCTGATAAAAGGCCGGAATGCATCAACTCATGCATATTATACCAGCCCTACAGCACACTGACATTGACATGTGAGCCTCGGCTGAGGAATTGATGGTGCAAGCATACCTGTTAAGGGAGGACCGGCAGTAAAAGCAGTCATAAAATAAAACAGACACATCCTTATTCCAATAAAAATATGGATCTGTATGTCGGAGAAGAAGCAACTGTTGGTTGATTTTTTTTTTTTAAATAAAAGAAGAGCATAAATGTGAGGGAAAGACAGACGGAAATCCGGATACTAGATTGTGAAGAAGGAAGGGGAAATTCGGATTGATAAAAGGAGGGCATTTATCGTCAGACGTAATATCTCCCTCATTATTCTCAACTGTCTCAATTACTCTTGCATTTATGTGTTTTAAATGGTCTTAATAGGATGGTCTTTTTTTTCAATGCTCGGAACTACCCAACCCACCCTCTATCATTCTTAATTCTCCTTGATTACGTTTCTTTTTTCTCCCCACCCCAAATTCAATTTCCTCACTCTGCTTTTCACACACTCATCTAACTTACGTGCAATTTGCTCTCATCCCATCTACCGCACCGTTCCCTTATTCATCTATTCATGTTTCAGTTCCGACTCAACATTTCTTAGAGATTTCTTTACCTACTATTGGCAAACTTTATTATTTGTTATCTCATTACTAAGGCTCATGTCAGGGGATCCGAGTAAAACTAGAAGCTCATCTTACCTGTCTAGAATTGTTAGCTTGTAATGAGAACTAAAGTCAACTGACAAAGTGCTCTTTCCACCCTTGAGATTTGGAGCCATAGGTGTTCAGTTAGATTGGTCCACCCACTGTGCTGCATCATGAGTAAATGGCATGTTTGAGTGGGCCTTGGCTCGCAAACATTTCTTAAGGAGATCAAGTACGGAGGATCCAAATACCGTAGCAATAATTTTATGTTTTAAATATCACTTTTCTCTGCAGTTCTGTCTGTGGTAGCTGTGGGCTATGACTTGCTCGCTTGCCTGGATGAAACAGTGAGATCGTATGAAACGGGGTCAAAAGAAAAGGAGAGAAGCATGGAACACGAAGGGTGATTCGCTGATTCTACCTTACATTTTGACGAGAAAAAAGTACGGCACCTGAGGCTCTAAGCTCTATTTCTATTACATTGTCAGCTGCTAAGGACGATCAAAAGCGAAGGCACATATGATTAGAATATCTCAGTTCTCAGATACACGTAGCATGCTCAAGTGTTACCATTAGTTTCTTCTTCTTTTTTTCCTTTTCCATATATGATTAGGATAGTGCATATCACGATCAACTCTTTCATACCCTCTGTACAGCCCTTACTTTGACAAAACCCACAGGATTTGATCACAGGAAAAATAGAGGAAAGAGGGTAAAAGGGAAGTGCCCGTAGCAGCAATCATACACCAGAAATATAGAATAAAGAGGGCAAAGTCCAAAAAGAGATTCCTAGGATTAAAAGCTAATATGTCCTACTAGCAGCAGAGAAATGCAGAACTGGAAATAAAACAGAGGCAGCCTACTCTAGCTCCTCCTAATGGTTGGGTTGTTGCCGTCTTGCAGGAAATCAAGCAAAACGGTGCTTTTGCACTTTGGGCACTTGGGATCATCCTCAGATAGCATCACGTACATGAGGCATCTCGGGCAGCCTACTAGCACCATGGACGTCGCTTCCGGGCTGTGGGAGTATCTCTGCTGCCCATCCTCTTGGTTCAGCTCCGACGACAGGCAAGAGCTCGGCGTCGACATCGGTGACACCGTCGCCGATCGGTTCGGCGACTCCAGTCTCCGGTCAGCCCTCGGTGGGGATAAGTTCAGCTTCAAGTCAAGCTTTGGGCCGTTTCCGTTTCTGCGACTCATGGTTCTCCCTCGATCCTGTTAAGACTCGTTACCTTTTTGACGAAAAGAACGAGCCACAAAAGGAAACAGATTCAGTAACCTGCAGTGCACCACACAACACGTGATTCATGTAAATAATAATAAACCGAAACTAATGACGTACCTTGAGGGACTGGTGAAGCAGCTTCCGGGAAAGCTAATACAGAGGGAGAAGAAGAGGGGATAACCGGAAGCATAAGAAGCTCCGGCGGCAGCAAAAGTTATGGGTGGTGCGGGAGAAGGAGGTTGGAACTGAATTTATATAAGGAAAATGAAGGGTGAGTGATTTAAAGCTTTATTTAATAGAGGGAGAGAGGGGGAATGAAGAAAGAGGAGAGAGAAAGAGAGAAGGGGGGATGGTATTGAATTGAATTGATGTCTTGGGTAGAAGAAGAGTGTAAATTGAGGCCAGGAAACGTATTAATGGTTGGAAAAAAATCCCGAGATATATACAGGAAGGGGAAATTTGCAGTAAATATCGCAATTACAAAGTGCAGGAAGAGGGCCTTTCTTCATTCATTGCTGGGAGGAGTCGGTGTTTTATGAGTCTATGGGAGCCATAATACAGCACAGGAAAAGCCCAGCGGCTTTTAAAGCTAAACCCTCTCATTACATGTATATCAACCCCACCAAGGACTTTAATGGCCAGCACCAAATTCTTTCAGATTGTAGACTCGTAGAAAACTAAGTGTAACAGCCACACTTACAAATTTTTAACTACTCAACAGTACCCGCAATAAAAAGGAAACCAGCAACATCTTCTTTATACTGAAAAAATTAGAACTTCCATTTGGTTTGTACTATATTTACACACACACACACCTGTTGCAATTGAAAAATAATTAAACCATCTTGAATTCGATCCTTTTCTCTGCCTGCGTATTGCAAACGAATAACGTCGTAGTTGCAGTTAGCAGGAGGAGTACCACTCCCTCTGACCCTTCATAAGGAATAAGAACAAAGGAGAATCCTTTCTGTTTGAGGTATTCAGAAACAGAGGATCTTCAACGGTACGATCGGAGCATCACTGAATTCACTGCCTGCGTATTGCAAATGAATAACAGGGACGCGTTGCTTTGCAACATTTACTAAAATCGACCCGTAAACCTGTGTTTCAAGGTTTCCATTATGCAAAAAGTCATTGCTTTCCCCCGGAATTACTGATTGCTTAACTCTGTAATCAGCTTAATGTTGAACAGTTTTAGATCGTATTTGTCGCTGTCATGTTGTTTGATTAGTACTAGTACCAAAAATATACTGTAATTCACAACACAGTTTGTTTTACGCGCGAGCCAGTCTACGTCGGTCATTAACCAGCCAAAAATTAGAACTCCGTAGGAGAGAGAAATGCAAGCGCAAAGAAGCAGGTGGATTTTCCAGGGGTGGAACATGTTGGTCAACGTGGCAGTGTTGGATGAAACGTGTGGAAAAGAGGGGTTACGGCTTTCCATAATTAGAAACTCGCATTCTCTTGGGTGGGTGGTCCTGTTAGTCCCCCGCTTCGTCGTCTCTTTTCTTCCATGACCCAAAGTGGACCACTTAGCCCGTAAACCGTATATTAAAATTTTAAAATACTTGTAAAGCAAGGACGAGCCTATATCATTTTCTCTGCGTCTGGTAAGTGTTTTTGTGAGAAGATTGATCAAGCGTGCGAAGACACCCTGGATTTATCAATTTTGCCCCTGGTGTCCTGCCTTGAATCTGCCGCATCAATATTTGGTGCCAGAGGTTCAAACCTATAATCAGTGTGCTCACCCACAATGTAACACAATTCTTTTTTTTTTCTTTTTTTCTTTCAAATAAACTCAAGTACATTCAATTCCTTAATTTTTTTTAATGATATATCTAGTAGTTTCTAACGTTTTAATCTTATTTATATTATATTCAGCACCCTAAATTATAATAAACTATTTTATCCTATTTTTTTCAAATAACTTACGCCAAACACACTTTGATTTTAAAATAATAAAGCGGAACTTACGCCAAACACACTTGATTTAAAATAATAAAGCGGAACTTACGCCAAACACACTTTGATTTTAAAATAATAAAGCCCATTCACATTTATACTCGCTTCTCATTTTGATTTCTTTTCCTGTTGCCATCCTTTATTTTTATTTTTTTTGCCATCCTTTATTTTTATTTTTTTAACTTAGCAAACAACATTTTTGGAATTTTAATTTTGTTTCAAAACAGTTGTCGCTCTACATAATGAAGCATTCATTTGTTTTATACTCCTCCGGTCCTTATTATAAGACCCAATTTGACTTTTTATTTGGTCCTAATTATAAGACCCAATCCATTTTCTCTCTTATATTTATGTATTTTTTTCCAAGATAATCCTTCTAATAATGATAGTTTAGCCAATATACTTAATTAGCAAGGATATTTTAGGAATAACAATACTTATTTATTATAATAACCAACTTAACTTACTTCCTTAATCTCCTCAAATAAGTCAATTGGGTCTTATAATTAGGACCGGAGGAGTATTATTTTACATTAATTAAATATGAAATTAAAGGTAGGTCGATCTTAATTTTTTTAATTAGAAATGACTTATTATTATGAGGATGTTTTAATTAAATGCTTTTAATTTTTTAAACAAAATTTGATCTATTTAGTATCTATATATATAGCTTTCTTAATCTGTACATAATTAAAGTTTAATAATTGATTATATTAAAAGAGAAGTTACTCCCTTCTCCCCCCACCCCCAAACCTTTCAACTATTACGTTCACAACCAAACCCAAATGTTTATCTACTAATTTATTTATGAATGTACATATATCACTTCAATTCTTTCGGCGTGAGACATTCACATTGATTTGAAGGGGCTCAAAAACATCCTAGGTGCATGTATATATAATCATTATGAAAGGCAATGATTACTATATGTAAATATTCAATAAGAGAGTATTTTATTATTATAATTTTGAATAATTGTTGCATTCTCGCCTCACAAAAGATTACAAGGAAGCGTCATATAAAGATCAGCATTCAGCAACAAGCCAACAACCACTCTTTTTGTGTAATCAGATTGATTTGATCATTATTATTATTTCTTAGTTCCCTTGAAGGAGAGATTTCTATCTTCTGCTAAAAAACAACAACTGCCCTTGTGATCGAGGGGCGAATTTTCGCCGAGCCCATTGTTCTTTTGCGTGGTACTGCATATAGGGGAGCGGATGATAATTTCGTCAGCTCAAAACTGTTGGCTTTCGTTATTTTAATAAATACAAAGGTGCTCTCACTTAATGGGTGGGTTGACTAATGGGTTGGAGCTTTGATGAGAGCGAGCCAAAACTCGTTGAAACAATTTCAACAGAAATCTGTCTTTACATCAAATATCTGATGAGCAAAGGCGAGAACTAGTAATGTTAATATCAATGTACGTACCCAAGATTATTCATGAGAAAAACAAACACGATAAGTTTATTTCTTAACCGTGACTGATGAGGTTTCTAATCCTAAGGACCCAAGTTATAGCATAGTATGTGAAATTGATGAGATTTTGTTTTACAGATTATGTGAGGAGTTCTGAAAATCCGGAGTTTGGGGGGAGCTTATTCATTACAGAGGAAGGCACCTTTTTTCTGGTTCAAAGGGAGGGAACAAGTGATTCAGATTTGAGAGACTATATATGTGGCTTTAATTGAAGATGAAGATCACAACTCATCACAAAGACGAGGCCGGTGGTAGGCAATGATGGGTATAGTTGTGGGCTTTAAGAGTTGGCTTGAAATAGCAAACCAGTGTGCAGTACTTTGAAGATGGACAAATAATTCAACTCTCAATTCATTTCGCTTTTAAAGAAAAGGGCTTGTCCTTGTATGTATATATCAGTGCATGCGTGACCTTTTATTGTTATTAGGCATTTTATCTTCCCTTCCCACCAACAAACCTCAAATTGTTTGAAAATATTGTTAATTTTTTTGTTCAACTTTAAGGCAAGAGTTTCATTTCTTGACGCTTCCAAACTCTCAACATCTTGGGCTGCATTAATTTAATCATTACGGTTGACCCAAAATTAAATTTCTTCGTCTTATTGCCTCTTCTTTAATTCCATTCATCATCTTATTGCTGCTTATTCTATCATTCGGTGAAGTTTTGACGTTATGCATTAAATGTCAAATCTAATCATGAAACTTGGAAGGCGAAGGATAAGAAGATCCTATACAAACAAAATACTGCTAGTAAATTAAATTTTAAAACCTTGAATTCAAATAGTTGACTCAGCTTTCACGACAGAATTGAAAGAGTATATAGGGGAAAAAGAAACTGCTTTATTCATTAATTATTCTGAAGATAAGGTGGCTAGAAAGACATTTTCCAAGTATATATATTTGGATGGCGAATCATGTGATTGCCGACAAGTATGTGTGAGGAGATATATAATCCTCAAGTTTCAGAGAACAAGATTTGAAGAGTACAGCATGATTTCATTTTACTGTCGAAAATCCGAACTATTTATTGAGATTAATTAAGGATGTCGAGAGTTTTGTCCGTTAGATATATTTAAACTAATGGGTAAGGCATTAAAAAAATTATAATACTATATAAATGAAAAAGTCAAACGACGAGGGAAAATGATCCTTTATTATACGTAACCCTTCTTCATTCTAAAGCTGTACTTTATATATAAAACTGAATCGTTAACCTGCACGTTGAAAGCACAACTGAGCTCAAGATAACAATATGAGTCAATATCAAAGAACTACCAGTCGTTAGTTTTTATTTTCAAATGCACTGCCAAATAGTTTTTCTGTTTATTCTAATGGTGGCAGTGCGACTAGCTTCTTAATTTTCCAATCTGAGTTAGTGTTCATATCGTTGGCGCTCTTTGTTTTTCTTTGTGTAGTTTGGAGTTCGGGCTTTGTGTTGTTTGCGCTTCATTATTTTTATGTTTCGTGAACGTTTTGTAATCTTGTTTACCTGATATGATACTTACTTTTGGTTTTTTTTTTTTTTTAAATGGAGTTCAAAGCAATTGATGCTGTGTCAAAGAAAATAAAAGGGCAATTAAAGTTTTGAGAGCGATTGGCTACTGTTGTATGCCTAGCTACTACATGGTCAAGTGTTACTTTAACGTGGAAGACTGTATAAATCATAAATGTATATACCAAATCAAGTACGCCCTTCCATTAAGTCACATCCCCGGCTCCGATTGGTCCTCTGCCTCAAATTAGTATTCACAAGTTTCATTTCAAACGCCACAAATCCGGAAGCCTACTTCAGCAAGTGGCCTGGTTTTAAATATAACTTCTCATCACAGCCTAACCATAGATAAATACCAAGGTTTAAAGACATGAGTACACGGTACCTGAACAATAAAATTCAATATCAATCGGATGAAGTTAATGACTGTGAGAATAACCTTGTAAAAACATTAATTCTTGTGTCTCCATAACCCATCGTTAGCCTGCCTTTTTCCTCTGATTGGACTTTCATTTACAAAACAAAAGGAGGCCAGAACTTAATTTTATATTCGCTATGCATTACTACCATTAATTATACTAAAATTAAACA